GCCAGGACTGCGCATAGACCGGCCTGGACTGGTTGTAGTCACCCAGGAAGGTGAAGAAGAGTTTGAAGTTGAATAAGTAGTGGATACACACTTGAAGTGTGGAAAATTAGAGTTCCTGGTCCTATGGAAGGGCTATGGAGATGAGGATAGAACATGGAAAGCAGAAGCCCATATGGACGATTCCTGCAATGCTGTTCAAGAATTTTATTCTAAGAATCCCTCGGCTCCTAGGAAGCTTAGAAGCATAAACTCAACCCTTTTTAATTCCCTTTTTCAAATAATGCCCAAAACTCTAACTACTACCTACTTGGTCTTGCCTGGAAGTTAAACCTTAGAAGGGGGGTAGTGTTACAATATACAATTTTTGGACTTACTACTTTCTTTCTCCAATTTAACTTTCTCTCTTAGTTTTGACACAATCGTGCCATGTGGCACTTTCCCTTTGTTCAAAACTCCACTTTTGTGTGCTGCACTGCTTTCCTTTATTTTTAGCGACAAGGTTCTCACATAGTGAATCTTGGTCACATGGGCTGTGCCCTATAATATCATCAGCCACTACCTTCATCAACTGTATAGTATATATGTACAAACAAACCTGTAGTACTATAAGAACCCCAATAGATCCAGGAGACTCCTTGGCAAGTCCTCCTGTTGTTTATTAACTCAGTGCTATTCTAAGGGGTTTACTCACTCCTCACTCTATCCTCTATAGCTTGTCATAGTGTGCGCCAGAGTATAAAAACTTTGATTGTAACACAAAGCCTCCAAAGATTGTCAGGGCATTCAATTGACAGAACAGCCCCTGTAGCAAAGTCAGGAGAGTCAGTTTCTAGCCAAAACTGTTTGTCTAATTTTGGAGATGCTAAAATAGGAGCTATTATACATGCTTTTTTAAGCTTATCAAAAGCTTCTTATTCCTTGGGGCCCCAATGCCATGGGACGTCTTTCTTTATGAGATAGTTTAATGGTCTTGTGATTTTTGCAAAGTTTTCAACTAATCTTTGGTAGAAGTTGCCTAAACCAAGGAAAGCCTTAACTCCTTTAACGCAAGTAGGTTCTGTCCATTCCAAAATAGCTTGAAATTTCTCAGGATTCATCCTGATTCTGTTCTGGCCAATTATTATACCAAGAAAATCTACTTCTTTTACTTTAAAATTATATTTTTTGGGTTTGATGAATAGGTCCTGTTCCTGTAAGTGTCAAAGGACTTCTTGCACAATCCTGTCATGCTTGGTCTCATTGTCCAACTTTGTAAATATTGATAAACCATCTATGTAAATGACAATATAGTTCTCCATATCCGCAAAGATTTTATTTATTGTGCTCTGGTAGGTTGCCAGTGGGTTGGTCAACTATAAAGTGTTTAATTGAAGCTTATGAGTGTCTCAATGCTGTGATTCACTCTTGGTCATCAACACTTTCTAAATTCACATAATACTGAATTTAACCTTGGTTATATTCAATAGTATGTAAAAGAGTTTGTGATTAGATTGTCTTATCTAATCACAAACTCAGACTTTATCTACTGGCAACCATATAGTATCAGTTGCATTATCAGTATGGTATCATTATCTAATCTGATCAATACATTACACCCTCCCCTGGAAGAGCAAAGTATGGGTTTTTTTTCATTTTTGTATGTATATAGGAGAAGGGTGGAGAGAGAACGAGAGAAAAACATGGGGAGATGTATAGTAGGGAGTAGGTATCATATATATGTAATAGATGTAATAGATAAGATGTAATACATAGATGAGAAGGAATAACCATATGAACATGAAAGATATAAAAGAAAAGAAAAAGATTATATGGCAAAAGTTGCTAATATAAAGGAGTGGTATGCTGTGCAGGCAATGGGGCAACAACAGGAGCACAGCTGGTGACCATGAGAATATGACACAGACATAGAGCTGAGCTTCTCTACATAGGGGCAAGGCCCTGCTTGTCCATAAATGGGAGTGGGTTGCCCATTTTAGTGTCCTCTATGGAGGTAGCCATCCTGTGCTTTTGCTCCAGCTTGGAAGCTCCAGGCTTGTCACCTAGCTCTGAAATTTCCCGGACTAGCTAGTTACCCACACAGAGTTAGGTGTTATCCACCTATTCAATGGTCACCCTGCTTGTGTTGAAGTAATGGCCAATTTGCTCCAGGGAGATATTCAAGGTAGCAGGGAATTTATTTTGTCTCCTGTCACTGATTGGAATCTCCAATCCCTTGTCCTCTACAATTTCCCTGTAGAGGCCAGGGTATGCCAAGAGTTTTGCTACAACTCGCATATATTGTGTTCATTGGTCGTGGCTTTCTGCACTTGCTAATGCTTGTGGGCTCAGCTGTAATACCATCAGGTATCCCCTTGTGGCCTGAAAGTCATAATACCTATTTATTGGTAGGGGAATACTTTTCCGGGTTTGCTGGTGATCTGCCATTCAGCTGGCCCACTCTAATGCCAGTACAGTCAGCTTTGGCATTGGGACACCCTTTTTCATAGGGGGTGCTTTTGCTTTTGCAATGGTTGGCTTACTGCCTTCCATTGTTGCTGACATAGAAACTGTCGCTTCCTCCACTGGCAGTACTACCTGGTAACCATTAGCAGGCATGGTTGCAACATTATTTCAAGATGCTCTGATGGGAACCTGCTTGCTGTATTCCACCACCCCTTGTAATGAGTATGGGTGGGGGGCAGGCTGTCTTGACACAAGCCTCCACAACACTGAGATCATTACAGGTACCAGCCAGCATGCTACAACAGTCAGTTTACCAGTCAAGCAATTTATTAAACTCTAACAATGGGTGTCTCTGGGACTCCACCATACAGATGAAATGTTTCTTGTGCAATAGCACCTCTGAAGTCTATGAAGCTCTACTTGGGAGCACCTCACTGAAGTGTACGGCACCCACTAGAAGTGTGATGATCACATGAAGTGGACCATGTGCTAAAGCTCAAGTGATCCATTCCATGTATCCTGCCATCCCCATTGGATGTAACAAAAGTGGCTGTGTTGTGGCCCTCACTAGTCTGGGAGCTGGAGATGTTGTCAATGGGGTTCACGTCTATCATGCATACTTGTACTGCAGACATTCTAGTACTGTTGCTCTTGTGTGTGAGGCAACGTTAAACTATAACAAAAACAATACCTGTCTCTGTCTGCACTTGCAGGGAGTAAAAGGCACAATGAGTTTGAGGTTAACAGGTGCTAGAGATTATAGCAGGTAGAGGACTGATGGTAAAGTCAAAGGTTTTTGATGAGGAGTGAAGCGGGTTATTCAAGTAATAAAAAGCTAAAGAATGATACATAAATATGTAGGGTTTTTATAGCTAATTGTCTATCTCTCAGACTGGAAGTAGAATAAAAGAAAAGTGGTCTGAGGATGAAACTGTCCAATAAGAAAAAGAATAACTATTGTATGACTTTTAGGGATTAATCAGCAGGTGAGAGAATGTACTAATAATGAGTATTGTCATGTGTCTTCAGGAACTGTATCCTCATGATGCGGTACAATACTAAAGTGTTTATTAATATCTCCAGGCACTGATGGGTCTTGGAGCTGGTTGGCGAGATCTCTACCACCAGTCCTTACCCGTTGTGCTGGCTAGCTGGGAGTACTACCCAGTCTCTGATCTGCAATATGAAGTGGTAACAATGGTTAAGAAAGCCTGTGAGGGCTATGAGAAGCAAGATAGCAAAGAATATTTCTAGCCCTAGAGCCAGAGGTGTGATGGGGAAAACATCTGAGAACCAAGACATGGAACGAAAAGATGAGAAAATAAGAAAATATAAATGGTCCTTACATTGTGCTTGTGGAGGGGCACTGGGTAGACAAAAGAAATGCTCTCTTGTCCTTTTAAATATTGAATGATGATGGCTGAGAGTCATAGATGTGGCCACAACTGGTAAGTATAGACCAGCATAGTGGTAACTACTGTACCATTTCAACTGTAGGTTTAGTCACGGGTCACAAAAAAAAACTGAATCATATAATTGGTGGTTTTGTCATGGGTCACAAACCACAATGAACTACTGGCAAATCTGTATCTAATTTCTTTTTTTGTGGTGGACCACCTTGTCACATGCAGGGCTTAAGCGGTTGTGAGAGCCTTATTCAGTGAATTGAAATATTGTGAATAAAATTTTGCATGTATCACACTTCACAGTCAAGTTTGAACATTGACTTGTAGTATTCACAGCTGGGCTTAAATAAGCCAAAGCCCGCAGTGATAATTTATTTCTGTTGACATATTTCTATTGATACTATGTTTGTGTGGGAATATAAAAAAATACATTCTGACAAAATCTTGTAGGTCCAAAAATACAATCAAATATTCTAACCACTTTCAGGCTTCTTAATCAATTTTAGGTGTGACAAAAGTCAGTCATGCTTGATGTGATGACTCGGTATTCGGGGCAAAGAGCCAGCACAAAATCCAGTGACATTTACTAAAAGGCAGACCTGGTAGCCTATGGTATCAGGAATATATACACATCATTTTCTCTTAAAGTTGATGTTGGATGAATGATGGACAAGTGTTGATGAAGGCTGTAAAAGGAAAGTGAGAAGGATGGGGTGGCCCGTGCACCCAATATACCACCATCAGAAAAATGATACTTCCGTTCACCTACATATAGAGAGCCATCGTGATATAATCACCTCAGTTATTCCCCAGAACACTGAGGTGAGATATCAAGGAGTCCCTTGGTGTGCCAAAACTCAAGCCCGATGGCTCCAACTGGTTGATATATAAAACACGACTTAAGTGGGTTATGGCAGACAAAGACTGTGTCGAACTATTACTTGGTCTGGCCCCAAAACCCACTCCAACCTCGTTGCCAGGGACCGTGCAGACTGCTGCACAGGCTGGAGCAACTCCAGCCCGTTCCCACAACAACTACAACATTGAGTCCGACCGACCAGGAAATGTTGAAAGCCTGGCTAAAGAGAGAGTTTTGCGCGCAAAATATATTGGGCCGGACAATACCTGATTCGACGCTGCACAAAGACACAGTCGCTGAGATGTGGCAACTGATCATTCAAGAGAACAAGAATAAAACTGAGTTGGTCCAGGCCAAATTGAGAGATCAATTAGCCACGTTACAATGTCCGGACAAAGGCAACATGCATACTCACATCGACAAACTCAGAGATATGTGGGAGCAGCTGAGCGCTGCCGGCATACACTTTAGCAACAAAGAGAAGTTGTTAACCATAATGATGTCCTTACCTCCCACCTACGCCACCTTTGTGTCCAATTGTCAGCAGCTGCCCACTTATCCGGGAAAACCGTTGAGCCAGAAACATTAATCACTTATCTCTTACAAGAATATGATTGGCTCACCATTGCAACAAAACACCCCGACATGAAAGGCAAGAATGCCGCCATATCCGCAACAATGTTGTCCAGGAGGGGAAACTGTGGTGGTAGAGGTCGAGGTCGAGTCCGAGGGAGAAACAATACCAAAGACAAACCCTCCAAGAAAAACAAGATTGAGTGCTATGACTGTATGACTGTGGAGGAAAAGGGCACATAAGTTGAGATTGCCCCAGCAAAAAACGCAATTGCAGAAACAATCAAAAGAAAGACGTACCGGCTGAAGAAAGAGCCAATGCTCAAAACATCGATAATAAAAACCTGAGCAAGCAAACACTGCAATTGTCAAATGCAAAGATGAGTGAATATGGTGTGTGATATCCCCCAAGTCTTTAAATGTGGCAACCAAGTTAGCGTTATACATGAATACAGACAGAGTGATTGATAGCCGCCAAACCATTGAATTATATGATTTGGGCGCCACAACGCACTTTACACCCTACCAACGCCTCTTGAAAAACTATATAGAGATACCCCCACAGTCTATCAGCGCAGCCAATCAAAACTCCTTCCCTGCAATGGGAAAAGGAGACCTGATGATAAATGTACCCAATGGAGACAGGAAACCCACCAAAATCACCCTGTGAGACGTGCTATACACCCCAGCCCTGGCTCACACCTTAGTATCTATTGGCCGTATTGACAAGGCTAGATACAAGGCTATTTCTAATCAAGGGGAGTGTGTAATAAAAAAACCCGCTGGTAGAGTCATTGGCCAAATCCCAAACATAGGAGGCATCTACATGTCCCAAGGATCAGCCAGCATTGGACATACAGCAAAAATATTACATAGCAATCGTGGAGGTGAATTCCCAAGCACCAAATTCAGTAACTACTTGAATGAAAGAGGGATCACTCGCAAACTCACCGTCCACGACACGCCAGAAAACAATGGCGTGGCTGAGCGCCTCAACCGCACCCTACTCGAAAAGGTCCAAGCGATGCTACGTAGTAGCGGCATGCCGAAGTACCTGTGGGGAGAAGCAGTCAGACATGCTGTGTGGCTGAAGAACCATACCTCCATGAAGGCTTTGGACAATATGACGCCACATGAAGCGGCCCATGGCACCAAGCCTGATCTTTCTTTGCTTCATGAATGGGGCTGTAAAGCCTTGATCCATGACGCTTCCGGATCCAAACTCAATAGTCTCGTGTGGGAAGGATGGGACTGGACGACGAAAGCAAGGGCCATCACATCTATTGGCCAGGGAAGCACTCAGTACGTTTTGATGTGGAAAATGCACCAATGAACACTACTGACGATCCTGTGGATCAGGATGTTTATGGACAAAATCTTCGGAAACAATGTACTGACACCAAACATATCAATATAAGACTTCATTCATATGCCATGCGATCGAGCAGGGCAAGATCGAGATGATTTACTGCCCCACGGACGGTATGAACACCGACACACTTACTAAGGCTTTGCCTTCCACGAAAGCAAAGCATTTTGCAGCGGTATTGGGCCTTTGTGTGGCTTGAGGGGGAGTGTTGGATGCAGCAAATGATGGACAAGTGTCGACAAAGGCTGTAAGAGGGAAGTGAGAAAAATGGGGTGGCCCGTGCACCCAATATACCACCATCAGAAAAATTTCACTTCTGTTCACCTACATATAGGGAGCCATCGCAAAGTTTACATCACCTCAGTTGTTCCCCAGAACACTGAGGTGAGATATTTACTTAGTTTCTAGTGTACTTAGCTCATCAGACTTCCTAGTCTTCGTGTTTATTTAGGTACTTACTTCAATACATGAGTCGTTCCCCAGAACACTGAGTCTTCGTGTTTATTTAGATCAGTAATCTCTTTGAGTTGAGCTTTGTATCACACAGACAATCCCACATTACTTCAAATTTTACATCATAATAGCAATACACATGTATTCTTAACATGCTCGGGCTACATGGCTGGTGATCGCACGAAAAATGCATATATCATGGTTGATTGGCTTAAATGCCCGTTCTGCACTGTAGTGTATTCTTCTAGTATAAACCGACCCCATTATTACCTTTTGGAGAGCAAATCTACATAATGTGCTCAATTGCGTGAATTTAATGAAAGAAAAAGATTATTATACCTTGTTTATATTTTTATGGATAATGTCAGTTAAAATAGCGTAGACGTTTCGAATATCAACGATATGCTGGCGAGCAAGATATAGTTGTTTCTCATCCTGTTCCTTGAGAGCAAGCTAACCAATAGAGCTATGTTAGGATACAATGAGCACAAAAGTAATTTGTGCCCTACCGTATAGTCTTCTACGTGGGGATATTTAATAACCTTGGAGCAAATCTTAGCTCTGGCAAGGTAATCTTGCCGAATCCCATCACGCAGGTTATAAGCACTTTCTTGAGAACGATGTAATTCAGTAAGGACCTCTGTGTCATGTCAGGTACGAGCTCCAAGATCAGTTTGAGGTGAACTGATACCTTCTTGAATTTGAACACCTAAAAAATGACGGAAATTAGATGATGGCCATTCAATAATAGATATAGGTCAAACCAAAATTATCGCCACTTCATTGAACGACGTATGTTAGTGTTATATAGCCATACAGAATGATAGAGAACATACTCCTCGATTCTAAGATATTTGGTTTAGCGGATAACAGGTTTTGTCATAGTAAGGACATACTTTGGCATAGTAAGATTGACCCACAGTTTAACTTTTTCCTAAATGCCACGACGACTGCTCAGAATCAACGCAAGGAGAGAAGTGCTTCACTCACACAAAGATCTGCCAATTGTGTACACTCTTTCTTTATATCTGCATTCAGTTTAATAATGTGTGCGTTGGCATGTACAAGGTTAACGTATATGGCGTGGTGAGTATCGTTGTGGTTCACAACAAAAGGCGTCCCATCAGTCATCCGCTTACGCTTCTTGGATTCAGGCACATCTGAAGAGGATGAAGGTGGCGGATACACAGTTGCGTCAGTTGATGCATGGGATAGGTGAAACGGTGACTCGGGGTTTTCTGTGGAACTTATCAACGTCGTCAATTCGCTGTAAGTGGGTCATATTGTGAGTTATAATCAAAGAGATACTATCTTTAAGTCGTACATTATCTACTTGGAAAGTTAGCACCTCTGATATGATGGATATTTCCGAATTTGCACACCTTGCTGGGAAATTGGTTGAAAACAACGTCTTCTGCAGTTGAAGACACTGATCTTTGGAATTCCTTTAAACGGCAGCAGCTTAACAGTAACCTGAAACGTGCCGGATATTCATGCTTACCTCTAGTTTGCAAGCTAGAGATTTGTCCATACCCTTCGTCATTCTTGCAAGTATGGGGGGTGTCCTGGGCATGTGTCAGACACATGCCGGCCGTACAAACACTCACAACATGCCAAAACGACTTGACAGTGGCTAAGTCGGAGCTTCTGAAATTCTAGCGCCAACTCATGCGATTGGTGGAAAGTTGCGGGGATTGCCTGTTGTGGATGATGGAGATTCTGAGATGATATCTACTGTAATCGTACACTGATAATATTCATCTCACTATGATAACATATATCTCAGCGATTAGATTTCACGTTGTGAGAACCGAAATTATCATTGATACAAGATAACAAAAAAACGATATCAGACATCAGACATATAGAAAACACAATCATAATGCGGCATAATACAAATACACTTGAAGCAATTACTAATACTCCACAATCAAGCTGTCCATCATACCCATCAGTCGTCCACCAACATAGAGCAATATACTTCTTTATCTGAATAACAGTTCAGAAGGAAACATGTTGGCACCTCAAGCGAATTGGTTGCATTGATACTGGGATCTTTTGTAGGCCCATACAATGGGATCAGCTCGACAGCTTGAGCAACCTCTGCCAGCGGGACAATCCTCCTGAAACGCTCATGCTGGCGCTGTGGATTTCCGTGGAGCATTCGTTTGACCTCAGTGTGGTCAGAAGGATTCGCGATGACCTTGAAATATTGGATGTAGAGAAGAGGCTGGAGGAGAGACGGTAGCAATGAAACCCCGTGAGAGGCAATCGGGACAAGAACTGCTTGAACTTGGACCACATAAGGATCTGGAAAAACAAGAAATAAGTATTGTCTCCGAATCAATCACTGACAATATGTACCTTTTCCCTGACCTGCCAATAACACAGTATCACAGTTGCCCCAGGGGAACTCCTTGCTCGGAGAGTATGCCTGGGCCAGCTGACTCGGCATGATGATGCTCTCGTCAAACACAGAATGTAATTGCACTCTAAACTTGAACCATACGTGAGCTGCGCTAAAGCTCGGAGTCCCTGTGAATCCAGGATAACGGGAAGAGTATTCTAAAAGAGCCCCCACAAGGTCCTTCAATCCGTATAGAGCACTGGTCTCTTCAAGCAACAGCTGTTTTTGGTTAGGTAAGGCTGTGAGATGAAAAGCGGCGGATGCTTCATTAGAAAGTATCCCCTTGATGAAATAATTTTGAACGGGACAGGCACCCCTGATCTGAGTTTCTAATGGAAGTATGGATGATATCCAAGCAAACCGAGGGTCTGTGTTCATGACCTCATGATCAGCGAGCAACACGGCACATTTATAGTCCTCTGAGGCGATGGCCATGTTGACAAAGCTGTTACTGCTGGACCGCAGTAGCGTATATAAGTCAAACATCCTCCGCCCTTTCTGCGTGATCCAGTATTCTGACGACCTGAATGATAAAGTCCCTCCCATGGTTGGTTTGTTGGAACGTATGTTTGCAATTCGTGATAAGAAGATGTTTGACAATGTCTCCTGTGAACTGAGGGATGCTTCCGCTGTTCTTGATTGAGCGGGCAGAGTGTTGCATAAGCTCAAAGCTTTGGGATCCAGAAATTCTCAATTGTCCCCTTCTTACCCCTCCTAGGGTGTAGCACGGGTGTACCCGTACCCACCGTACCCGTCCCCCCTAAACCCGCGGTGTGACCCATACCCGTGCTACACCCTACTCCTAGCTTCTGCATCCAATACCGCATCTTTATATTGATGGAACTCCTGGAGAGAACAAACCATTGCATTGATCAATCTGGCTGTTTGGATGGGATATTGTGCAGCATAGATGAAGTTGATCATTGCACGGATGGCCCGCACAAAGTTAGGAGGAGCAGCACCAATGATTGTGGGCACTATAGTGTGCTGAATATTGTGATGTTCGCGACTGGTCATCTGTCTGACACCTTGTCAAAGTGGCAAAAGCCAACTCGCTTGTGATGGCTTTTGTAACAACTATCCAGCTCCTGGTGGCCCAGGACTTATTTGCACCAGACAAGAATGTGGTCAAAGAAAAATTTGTGGCATGTATGCAAAAGTTCGGGTGTTAAAAATATGGAGGGGTCGGCCAGATGCCAATTCCTCCAAAACGGTTGATGTACACCATTAAGGCCGAGTTCTTTTGCTGCTATCTGAAAATTGTTTAGATTCCACGGATCAACTTTCAGCGACATTTTAAGGATGCGAGCCAACGTGTGCTTCGCTGTACAGGAAGGGTAGGGCTTTCCATTGCCAAACTGTGATTGGGTGGCGAGAGAAATTGGAGACTTCTGTAACAGGATTAACAGTTCTGGTGCAAGCAGTTGGATGTCCTGTGCAAGCCCAGCAGCTTGTTTGATTGTTCAGATGCTGAACTATATCTGCAGAATTGTTGTATCAGTTGTGACAATTGGGACATTGGACTTGTGTGGGCATCTTGAGCAATCTTGACGAAATCAATAGCCAGAGAAACACACAAGAAATGCGCCCCCAACACTGCGAAAAACCTGAGATTATGAACCATGAGAATGTCCCGAAAACTCGGTCATTTCCGGCACATTTCAATCGAATCTTGCTCTGGATGTTCGGTTCTGGAAATCTACACAAAATCTGTAGGTTTCCTGCACATTTCAACTAGATACTCAAGAAGGACTTGGTCGTTTTCTAGAGTCCTTTGAGTTCGCATCAACATGATTGATTATTTTAGTATTTTAGTTAACTTGTAAATAGAATAACTATGTTGGTCTTGAAAATAAACTAAATTATTATTCTTCATATTACACCACCAACTCAAAAATGACTTCCCTTACTCAAGACGAATTCGAACAATCTGAAATATCCACTCAACTTGTCCTGAATGTCTTAGGTTCATTTGATGTTGGCCTATAATCAGGGTCATCCTCATTGTCAGACATAGTGTTGATGATGAATGCTGCATCATATTTCGGGTCAGTGTATGCCAATAGAGGCCATTTGCGTATGCGTTGGTCACATTTCTAGCACAGGTAAGCTTATAATTGATTCTTATCAATTCAAACTCACTGATTGTGCACGGGAATTTCTGTGTGCTTTAGATACAGGTACACTGATGGCAATTTCATCGTCATCATCATCAATTAATTGAGCTGCCTCAGACTCTTTCTCACGTGCTTGGACCTTCTGTGTATTGAGACAAAACTGGTGTGACATGTATTGGAAACGTAGGTGGATTCATTGTTTGAGGTCCTTGGGAAGTAAGAGTCAAAGCATCCTGGATATGGTGGGAAATTCTGCAGGTGCGTTGTTGACTATCCAAGATTGTATTGCAACTAAATTGCTACTGTTCGTGGCTTCATCTGCTAGCATTTTCCTTTGAACCGAAGGAACGGCTGATTTGTAGCTTGATCAACAGGCCACATACTTTGCCTGATAGAGGAGGGGAAATTGGGTAAGTGTTTTGCTTCCGGTTTATCTACACCCATTTTTCTCATGAACGCTTCATTTATAGCATCCTGTTGATAGCTATAGGTTAGTTTTTTTTATTGTAGTGTTTGCATAATATATTTACTCACCTTGACAATTTTTGAGTCAGCCACTTCAAGGCTTATAATCTCTTTTTGTTCCGGTGGCAGGGTCTCTAAATCAACACTCGACAGATCAATGTTGGAAAGGGAAATATTGGTGTCGGTAAGTGACTGTGTTGTGCTTGCATCATTGTTATTGACTTGTTCGGTTGCCTGGTCCTCTCCATCATTGTCGTACTCCACACATTCTACACCCAAGTTTTTTTTCAAGAAGTCAACCTGTTTTTTCAGGTTTTCAATGTTGGCTTTCATCTGCAGATTGTCCTGCTTCAAGAGGAGGTTTTTGGCATTCAGAATCTTGACATTTTTGTCTGTTAGATCCTTGAATGCAAGGTGAGTAATCTTCATCTCTTCAATGTCTCTTACAGCCGCTTTGAGTAACACAATATTTCTGTTAGGTGCTTGTTCGGCTGATGGAGCTTGGAGTGTTGTGTGAGAGGACATCTGGAGTATTTTTTTGGGGGGCCATAAAGAGATGGTGGCATTAGTTTTATGCTATGTACATGTAGGAGGTTATGTAAACTATACAGCGACATTTTCTTTGCTGTCTATCAAAGTGCAACTCAGAGAAGCAGGAGGATATTAATCTATATTGAGGGATCAGTGTCAGTTTATATTATGTAATACTCAAGGATAGCAAAATGATAATACCTTGATATTGGTAACTCCAGATTACAACGAAGGGTATTGTGGTGTAAATCCAAGTAGAATCCAGTGAACGCTGGCAGCACAATTTGTGCATTCGGTATTCATTCAAGCCAGTTGATATCTGGTGAACATCTGGTTGAAATGCGGCAGGAATCTGCGGACGTTCGGGACATTCCCATGTTGCATAATTTGGGTTTTTTTGCAGTGCAAGTCCTTCAAACTCTGATTCTCCAAGTCTTTGCAAGTTTCTCTAACCCCCTTTCACCACCTTTGCTGAACTTATATACCTTCACCTCCTGTTGTTATTTCTCTAGGCAACATGATCCCTTCCTCATGACAAATTATGACATTTGTTTATAGTATGAGAAAACATGCATTGGCCAGGGCTTGAACCTGGGACTCCAGCTTTCATGGTCTGGTGCTTTACCAACTAAGCTACCAAGGCGTACTTGGAAAGCATACTGATTGGTTGCATGCCCAGAAGGTCCAGAATCACTGTACACGGGTGCGGATCCCATTGTGTTGTGATACCTCAAACTTCTCTGGAAGTGACACATACTCTAGTCTCAAATCAGACCAACCCTCCAGCGCCACCAGCTTATCACCTCCTGAGCAACCCAATATTTGACTATGCTCTCCTCCTTTCAGCTCTCCTCCCCCAAAAAATATACCCACATATATCAGGAAGAGGAGTTGTACTGCACTTGAGCATGAAATTGCAATCAGGAGACTCGAGCGTGGTGCTCACTCCTTGCCACCACCTCATGCGGTGAAACAGGTATGCTGAACTTGCAAATCCTTATATTTAAATATATATTTGTGACTATTGTATTTTACAGGCTGAAAAGTTTCTCAGACGCAGTCTTAATACCTTGTCTGATGGTGCTATCAAGAAGCCTAAGGCTACTAATAAAACTAAGTAAAACTCAGCTGCTGCCCGAGAGGCTATAGAAATGACTGTATTATTTACCTAAGTGAAACTACAATAGATGTTAGTTTAAGGTGATCTCTAATAAATGTAATGTAACATACCTCAGCCGCTGCCCGAGAGGCTATAGAAACGACTGAGGTATTCCTATACTAAACCCCCTACTACTTATAGTCGGAGGTGCTACTCGCTACAGTATAATGACTCCTAGGAGTACAATTGTGCTCCTAGGAGAACAATGGTTACTCCATGGAGTGGTGGCTATGCTCCATGGAGAACAATGACTGCTTCGGCAGAGACCGGGTTTATCCGGTTTTGTCACTCCCACTCAAGTGCAACCGTAGTCCCATAGCTTTAGAGAATTTACAGTGATTCTGGACCTTCTGGGCATGCAACCAATCAGTATGCTTTCCAAGTACGCTTTGGTAGCTTAGTTGGTAAAGCACCAGACCATGAAAGCTGGAGTCCCAGGTTCAAGCCCTGGCCAATGCATATTTTCTCATACTATAAACAAATGTCATAATTTGTCAGCCCCACTATAGTTATGAGATGTAATCCATGTTAGTGCTATTACTATTATGTAATCCATCATCACTCTATCACGGGTGAGGGAGGCTATCACAACACAATGGGATCCGCACCCGTGTACAGTGATTCTGGACCTTCTGGGCATGCAACCAATCAGTATGCTTTCCAAGTATGCCTTGGTAGCTTAGTTGGTAAAGCACCAGACCATGAAAGCTGGAGTCTCAGGTTCAAGCCCTGGCTAATGCATGTTTTCTCATACTATAAATAGATGTCACAATTTGTTAAAAATTAGGTGACACCTACAAGTACATCATTCATATTGTTGATGACATTATAATGTTCAATCTGTCTTTGTGCATGTGATATGAAGCACTTGTGGATTGTATCATTGCACATGGTAATGTAGTTTTTGGAAATGCTTCTCATACCTAGTTTTAGTCTACACATCATGAATTCCTAGCTAGCTAGATAGATAGATTAGATTGTTAGATAGGTGGAAAATATACTATCTTTTATCTCTATGTTTCAGAGTGATCTTATCATAGTGAAAGATATTGGTTGTCCAAAAATGGCAACACAATGATACCACAACGGGGGATGACACACTGAATTGAGGCTATTCCCAAACTGTACAGCTTTAAAGCTGCTTAGAAAACTTAGATGTGCCACTTTACTAGTTTATTAACTGGGATCAAAGTCTCCAGGATACTATCCCAGCTAGATGCTGTGTCAAACTGGACCAAAGTAACCAAGTCTGGAATTAAATTATACTTTGTTGGCGTATTACAGCTAATTCATATCAATAAACCAGCACGTGAGAGCACACGCACAGGCGGGCTAAACAGAGTGTGAATTATATTGCGGTGCCAATGACTGGCATCAGACTCTGTCAGAGTCTAACCTCGAGGACAACATGAGGCGCCACATCCACAAGGAACACAAGGCCATCACCCTCAACCTCCATTAATATTGGTGTCCCCAACCGTCAAATTTTGCGCTACCTAGGAATATGTGAGAGAACTGTCAGGAGGATTCACCAAACCTACCGAGAAACTGGAAGCCTCAAAAGGATACTGGCGTGCCCAGGAAGGCCTAGAAAATTGACCAGCCTAGATGCGACGGTAAGTAATTCAATATTTAGTATAAAAAATGAGTTTAACTCTTAACAAGTTCTTGAAGGGCTGCATAGAAAGGCAGCCATACATGATGATCAGTGAACTGCAGGGCAGCTACGAGAAGTTTGTGGTGTGCAGACCTTATTGATGACAATATTGAGGACTTTGCAGAGGTGGGGGGATTTACCATGAAAAAGGTGAGTATTATGTTTTTTTTGTTTTTTATTTTTTGTTTTAAAAAATTGTTTATAGGTCACCCGTCCTGCCTGCAAGCATGATAAAGATGATTGCGCACTTTCCAAGATGCTAGTTGGTGACCACTTTCAAGCAGAACAGCTAGTATTAGCAGATTAAACCCACTTCAATCGGATCACCTTACACCTTCCATTTGCATGGGCCCCACACAGAGGTTGTGCTTGTCAAAGGGATTTTTTTGTTTGTGGTCGTTGATATTTAAATTTACCAGCCATCTTGTTGGGTGGTGTCTTACACCTCGAGGTCCTTGATTGTCCTTTTACAGGTGATGCCTTCTTGGATTTTGTTGAGGGTACACTGGCCCAGATGCAGCCTTGGCCATTACCCAATTCAGTTCTGGTCGTTTACAATGTGACAATCCACAAAGTTCTCGGTATTTGAGAGCTTGTTGAAGAGCAGTAAGTCATATTTTATATTTCTCACTCATTTTAACTAACATTCTATCTACCAGAGGAATGCATTTACTATACTTACTATCCTATTCACCAGACCTCAATCCCATCGAAGAGGTGTTTTCAGCAATCAAAGCATGATTGAGGAACAATCACAACTATGCACTTGGGGAGACAGAAGGCCCCATGTGTGATTCATATGCATTGATCTGGGAGGCAGTTCATTTGACCATCATGCCAGAGAAAGTCTATGGGTGGTTTAGGCATAGCAAGTACATTGCATAATTGACTAAACATGTGATTGATGTTCTATTATTCTAGAAGAAGTAAGCTATTTACAGGGCTATTAGGGCTACTCAAAGATCAGTTTCTATTATTGTGTCTCAAGGCTTATTTGTTCTTGCTAGCTTGTTATTACATTCCGCTTGCATTTGACCCAGTGTTATACTCATCTTCTTCCTCTCCATCCTCAACCTCAATAACTCCATCCTCTTCAAGCTCATCATGGATTTCAATAAATTCAACTTGGTCCTCATACTTCACCTCAATCTCATTGCCAGCCTTGCTTTTATTGATCTCATCAAGATTTATTGCCATTTCATGGCCTTCTCCTCCTTTCAGTCCAAAAAGTGGCATTATGCAACGTCTGGTGTAGGACCTTAGGATGTCTGCTTTTATGATGCCCATACTCCCTACTGTAGCCAAAGTGTCAGCTGGTAAAATGCCTTGTTGAACCACCAAATGCGTACCTGGATGGTCATACTGCATGGCAAAGGGATGATTCAGATATCTGATTGCCATTGCGGGATAGCCAGCATAGCCAAGAGGAGCCTGAAGTAATGGATACTCCCCCCCGGCAGGCGATGCATGTTCTGTGGATTATTGACATAGTTGGGGTTGGCTGGTTGAGAGGCCATTAGGGTGAGTGTCTCTTTTTTTCTACCACTGCTTGCACTTATATATTCATGTCCATAGGCTTACCCGCGATATGGAATTCATGTTGAACAATATTTTGTCCATTTACATTGTTTTTTTCTCACTATAAAAGTACTAGTCTTGGACTTGGCTTTCAAGAGCTCTCATGCTCTCAGCCACAGCCAAAACCAAGTGTAGCCTTTTTTTAAAGTTTAGTCTAATATTAAAGCTCAGTTAAAGTCCTATTTGTGTGATTTTACAAATTTCCGGCCTATCAATATGAATTTAGCTGTTTAAGCTTATTATTGAAGAGTGGCAAGATCAGATGGGTTCCGAGCAGCAGGAACAGTTTCCCTGTGCAATATGTTTGCACAGCAATAGTTGAGCTTTTCTATTAAGGGTACACACCTTGTCTATATGTCTCAAGTTGCTACAAAATCCTTGTCTGCCAACTGCAACACATCCAACCACTTACAAATTTCAACTGTATCACCATGCCTTCCTTGATTTCAGAGCCCTTGAAGATGTTACACATCTCGGTCATCTCAAAGTTTGTCATTCATGTCATCATTCCCTGGTGAAACTTCAGAAGCAGCCTTTGGATGCCATTGCAAATTTCCAGTACTATGCTATTCCTGATTTATCCATGTTTGTATTGACTGATTGGGATAATGCAACTCTTTATGATACATCCTTGGTCTATTGTGTTTCCACCAATAAATTGTCACACCTTTTTGCGCACAAGAAAGATAGCCCTATATATGGCTCAAATATGTGTCTGTTGCAAAAATATAACTATGATAATGTGGCTGTCATGCCTCAAGACTCTGTTCATTTGCGAACTGTTTTACCCCCTGATTGTGCTGAGATTGCTGATGCAATGTGTGCTTTGTTCATTGGATGGGATGTCAAACCGACTTGCAAAAATGTTGCAGGACTTTGGCCTGTTCTCATTTCCAAAAGGCGGGTCCATCAATTGATCAACTTTTTAGTGGCAAACAATATTTGGTGTAAAATTGCAGGCCTCTCCTTTAGTGAAACTAACCTTGACAATCTCTACCCTGAACTCAAAAACACTATTGTAGAAGCCACTCCCATTGCTGTGGAGATCTGTCAGTTGAATTCTGACCAGGGTGTAAATGCAGTGATAGCTGATTATACTGCTCAATGTGACATGCACCCCAACCTCATGGATGGGACAGATGTTAACCCTACTACAAATCCTGCCATGGATCCTTTGGTGATGGGCACTATTGGTTACACATCTGGTGACTACACCCCTCATAATTTGAAGGTTATGAAACCGGAAGTATTAGCCCGTGTTATTGATGGTGGGCAGTTTTGGAAAATGCAGAGTGGCTCTCACTTTATAAATGACTGAGATCCTGGCTTGCTCACTTACTTGTTTCCAAATTTGGACCCATGGGGTATTGGTGGCTTCAATGAGCTGAACCGCAGACCTGACCAGATATCTTTTGACAGGCAAGTGAGAAATTTGTTAAGACAGCATGAATTACCTTTCCAAAAAGATCCTTGCTTTGCATATGTTTTTTGGAACATCATACAAAAGGCTGAAGTGAACAAGAACACTTCATTTGCTATCAGCCAACATGAACAAAATTCCATTGTGGAGGAAATGCAATCTGTCAGGCCCATGCTTACTGACATGATTGCTACCTGGGAGTGTAATTCAAACACAAAGCCATCTAACCAGCAACAAAAACAAGCCTTGAAGTTGCTCCAGTGTTTAAAGCACGCAGCTAAAGACCTGAAGGGTAGTTTTGGTACAAATTGTGTCATCATAATGAAAATTGTGCATTGATAAAGCGTTTTTGCACCCTGGCATTGTTCCAGACTTTATACCCGGCTGATATTTTTAATCCTTTGTTTGGTGTGATAGCTGGCCTCACTCCCAAACAATGGGCAAACATGACTGCTTTTGAGTGTGGAGTTTTTGTGTCCAATAACCCTGGCTCTGCAGCCATCTTTTTTGACACTCTCATTAAAGCATTCTTGACCATTGTTGTAAGATATGGTTGTGGTGCTGGCCTTTTTGGTACATGTCTCGCACACTATGGGATGGTTGAGGCGCAAGGCCGTGGATCCCTTCATTGCCACATGTTGCTGTGGTTAAAAGGAAATCTGGCTCCACAAGACTTGCATGACCATATGTCAGCAGATGATGGGTTCAAGACATTGATGTTCACCTGGTTGGAGTCTATCATCCATAGTCATCTGCCCGGAGAGGATGCTCTTCAAACCAAGACCCCTGGAGAACCTCTGCATAGACCTTGCAAAGCTCACATTGCTGACCCTTGCCTGAATGACGAACTGAAATCTGTAAACATGACAAATGAGGATTTTGCAATTGCATTCTGCCAAACTGTCAGAGATCTAGCAATTGAGTGCAATTGGCACAAACACACTGACACATGTTGGAAATACTTGAAACCTGGTGAACCTTGTGATGATCAACTTTGCCATATGTGGATTGATGGCAGGCAGTACACAAGCTTTAACAGATGTAGACAAAGAAACACAGTCCATTTTACTTAGACGCTTGCACCCCTGTATCAACAATTTCACACATCTTATGTTATTCTTATTTCGTTGCTACGTAGACATTAAGTTTATCAGCTCTGGAGAATCTGCTAAAGCTTTTGTCTATTATGTGACCAAATACATAACAAAGAGCTCTTTGGCCGCTCACATTAGTTTGGCGGCTGTGTTGTATGCCATTCAACAAAACAATAAAAAATTTCAGGGTCTACAGCCCATGGCTGGCACTGTCAACAAAAGTTGGTTTACCAAAACAGTTAACGCCATTATGACTAGACAGGAATTGTCCCACCAACAAGTGATGAGTTACTTGGTGGGCGGTGGTGACCACTACACCAGTCATACATATAAAATGATCAAATGGCAACAATTTGATAAATATATGGCCACTCACTTTAAGGCTTCACAGCAGGATGACTTGAGCTCTCATTCCATCCAACTTGAAGATGATAGCAGTCAGATCGGACCTGAAATTGAGCTCTACATTGATGATGATCTTCACAAACTTCCAGAAACAGATTTCTGAGGAAATACATATGAAAGCAATGATGACCTGTAATTAAATTTTGTTGAAGGTCTTCCTTCAATTGCCAGTGATTTTTTGGATTATACTCTGTGGCCTATCAAAGAATATTTTGCGTCTACGTCACTGTGGCAGTTTACTGAGATTACGAGCAAACTTAATATCCACAGTGAAAATTGCAGAACAGGTCTTGACATGGATGATGGACAAGATGGTGCTGCAAACAGTAGACAAGTGCGAAAAGGTTGTCTTGAAAATGACAGAGGAGCTTTGCATCCATCACACCCACAGGTGACAACTCATATGTTAAGGGTTTGTGATATTACCTTTGGTACCTTGCTACTTGGTCCCAGACTTCCCCACTATTCACTTAGCGACAAAGAAAATAATAATGCCTATTTCTGGGTTATGCTCTGCTTGTTTAAACCTTGGAGGTTGGCCACTAACCTTAAAAGTGAGAATGAAACATGGTGTGAAGCATATGAAGTGTATCCTTTCACAGCAAAAGACAGACTGATTATCCAGAACATGGACATTAAAAATGAATGCAGAGATGCTTGGGATCGCTTTGAGTTGGAGAGATGGGCAAAACCAATTAGTTCTTTGTTACATGGTGAAGTTTTTGGCGGACATTAACCAATCTTCAGGCACTTGTGCTTGGAATGTCAGATGACCTTGATGGCACAGATAGCTTTGATGATAAGCACAAGCAGACAATGATCTTTTTTAACCTGACACTGTACACGCAAACATGAATGATACAATTTTGGCTGCACAAAGAGCAGGCTTACTTGACAACATACCGCAATTTCCTGCACCTCCACATGGTAAGAGCTCACAGGTTGCTGGGGCAGACTTCACGGAAGTTCAGATGCATGCTGGTTTAATAACTGTGTACTGCAAATGAAAGTGTCCAACCTGCAATCACCTGGAACCTGATATTCTTGAATGTCCTTTTTGCAGACAGTGTGTTGATTTTCCTCCTCATGTGTCATTTGACACACTTGACAACCAACTGAACATTGAATATGTCAACAGTTTTGTCAGAGACCCACATATATCAGGCTTTACACACCTGAATGATGTTATGAATGATATGGGGATCACAGGCAATGAAGAGCAAGAGCATGCATTGTCCACTGTATGCCAAAACAGCATATCACAGTCTCCCAAACAGTTACTACTCTACATTGCAGGTGTGGGCAGTGCTGGGAAAAGCCACATTATCAAAGCAATTGTGGAGTTCTTCCGCCATACAGGTTATGATGAGAGTTTGCTGCTCAGTATCGCAACAAGATGCACGGCGGTTCTCATTGAAGGATATATGATTCATGCCTTGACATTTCTGCCGCAGACCAAGTGGCAATCAAAGAGACAAGACCTTGAGGACATCTAGAGAAACATTAAATACCTCGTCATTGATGAGATTTTAATGATATCTGCCAAACTTTTGAGCCAAATATCTCACCGGATTAGCCAGGCAAAGGCTTGGGACCACCTGAATGCTGGTAAACCTTTTGGAGGTGTGAACATGATATTCACTGGCAACTTTGGACAATTTCAACCTGTTAAAGAGAAATCCTTGTTTTGTCACAACCTTGTCAACCAGATAACTCCCAATACTGCACAAACCGTTGGCGGTCAGAGTACCTTATATTGCACGTTGTTATGGAAGCAAGTTAAACAAGTTGTCATTCTCCGCAAAACTGGAGAGCAGCAACTGACCCTAAATTTGTGAACCTGTTAGCAAGAATACAAAGTGGTCAGGCTTGGAATGAAAATGACCCAATGAGTGCTCAACAGGCACAGGTGGAAATTATGATTACTTTGACTACAATCCTCTTCTATTGTGTTTGATTTGTGATATGGACACTCACTCTTTAGCTGATTTCAAGGACACACCTATAATAGTATCTGAAAAAAAGACAAGGGATGCCTTCAATTACAAACTTGCACAATGATTTGCAACAGAATCCAGCCAACTGTTTATGTAGTACCACTCCAAAGTTATAGTTGACCTTGCTATGTGCAGAACACTTCAGAGCGTGTATGTAATATTGTCAAGGGCCAAATCACTTGCAAGTGTGGCTATTATGCACTGATCCAATCCTGAGAAAGTGAATAAACAACTCTCAGGGGAGTTTTGAAATGAGTACTCACGTATCAATCACTTGGATCAAATCACTTGTTTGGAGTACAACGTGAGTCATACAGTTTGGCAAATTAGAAAGCAAGTTAGACTTACACATTTTAGCGCAACAAACATCTTTCCCCCTGATTCTGTTGTTGTAAACACGATCTACGAGACTCAAAACTTCACCGAGTACAAAGCTGCACACTACAACCAAAATTGCCAGGTGACGCCTAAATTATTGGCTATTACACTCCATGACTTGCACAAAGTAGAGGTAATGGATGTATGATAGAAAACTAGTGGAGGGTAGGGAGAGTTACAATTCTCTGTTGCACTTTCAATGTACTTGTACACACTACACTGTGTGCCACAATTGCCATTACTTTAACAATGTACAGAGTATACCCCTTACACCCTCTGAATTATACTGATTACTAACTTCCCGTCAAACATACACCTACAACCACATGGGCTTTACTACTCCCCTGACCTCAACATACATTGCCGAGTCAACAAAATCCAAATCTCCATAGTATCCTTGTCCTCCTAAACGCCACACCATCGTGAATTCATCGTTATAGGTTTCACTGATTACATGTTGGCGTTTAATCAAAGCCTTCCTTCCACTCTCTGCTGCCTCAACACCTTTCTGTTCATCATCAAATAAGAGTGTTATACATGTTTTGTCATGGGTGTGCTGGGCCTTCATTAGACACAATTGATATACACAACACAGGTGAGCCTCTGCATTCCACTGCACTGGATGGGTCCTTATAACATATCCTGCTTTTTGAGACTTGCCAAGTGTTTCCAGTACGTAGTGAGGCAGATTATTGTCATGAGGATAAAACAGGGGATTTAAAAGACCTTGCTTTTTGCGAGCCAAAGCTGGATATGCAGAGAAAAACCCATGCGCAGATATGAAGTTCATCATTATAGTTGAAGCAGATCAAAAGATTGGGTTGATGGCTATTGCTATTGCTGCATTTAATGCTAATAACACAATAGTATATGCCTCATTGCAGAGAGTTGCTACCTTGCTGATGTCTGTGTCATCTTTTTCTTCTTTGCTTAAAGTCAGGCTGAAAGCAACTTGATATCCACATTTATCCCTCAAACTCTCTATCATGCTCTTCAATTACAAAACAGGGAGATACAGCTCTATATTGCAAGGCAACAAAGACTGCATAGGATCAAAACAGTGCAGTGCCACACCGCCGCCAATGATGGCTTGGTTGTTCATGAAACGGTCACACAAGATTGTGTACGCACTGCCAAATAATGGTGCGTACAGTCTTGTTGGTTTTTCTGCTGACAAATTTAAACATAGCAAGTTCTGGAATGGCACAGTGCACAAATATGGTCAAAAGCACAACCAGAGGAAGCTTTCTAGTCCAATCATTGTTGAGTGGTACATCCATGTGCTATAGAAAATGAAGTTATCTCTTTGTAGTAGACTTCTTTTTTTTCAACCTTTTAATAATATGTATGTCTGATATGCTGCATCAAAATGTGTAGAGTTGCCTCATTACGAGGCAAGAACTCATTACCCACCCTTTTATCTGACATAACAACAATTACATCATCATTCTAGATGACCTCGTTAAAAGACAGCCCCAAGTCACACAACACCTTCATCATTCATTCAAGGAGGTCCAGCCCGTGGCTCTGCCACTGTAGTGCAACATTTTTGCTATATAATAAATAATAATAATGATAATACTGTTAAATGATCAAGAAATATTAAGTCAGTGAGCTTATGTTATCTGTAAAGTATGTTAAGTCTTTGAATCCTATGATGCATGTTTGACTTGCTGTTCTGCCATTGAACGTTCCTATAAGCCTGCCCTAGACTTGTGCACAGTATACTGAATTCAAGCAGATAATTTATATAATGTTTACAAACATCAACATATATTGTAACATAAAAAGTCTGTGGTATTATATGGATAAATTGATGAGAAAAAAAAAGAGACTCTAGAAATGGTAAAAAATAATAATATGATCTGATTACAAAACAGTTTAGTAAAAAGGGTGAAAATTGGGGGAAAATCTACTTGCCAGTCACAGATAAAGCCAGTCAGAATCTTGGGATATACCACATTGACGGTACATCTGTCATTTGAACCATGTGGAAATAGCACTTTTATTCTCCCTCCTGAAGTGCATCAAGGCAATGCAACATAAAGTTGCCCATCTGAAAACACTGTAGTGGTGTTTTCTGGCATAAGCATGTTGGTGGGGAGCTCAATAGTTCCATCTCCTGCAATTTCACGACCACCACCAATATCCAGGAGCCAGCTAGCAAAGGCTTCACTTTCTGAAGTACGAGAGGTCCTTGACAGCTTGGTCAAGTGCAGAATTGGATGTGGATGCCAGTGTCATGTCATCAACAAAGACAGGTAGAATAATGCGCACTTCACCTCTATCAAACACATAAATGGCAGAGTCAGAGTAAGTGCAATTAAATCCGAGTTTTTCAAGCACAATGTGCATCTTCTGGTTCCACATCCTGCCTCCTTGCTTGGTCCCATGGCCTTGTTGAGTTGGCAGACCAGATTATGACCACCTTGATGGAATCCCTCTGGTTGCTGCATGTAGACCTTTACATCCATGACACCATTGAGAAATGCATGAGAGATGTCAATAGAGCACAAATGGAGGTTGTGGATGGCAGCAATTGCAAGGATAACTCTGATAGATGAGATGCGAACAGTGGGTGCAAATATTTCAAGGAAGTCAAAGCCAGGGCGCTGGTTGTAACCTTTAGCCACATATCTGGCCTTGTAGCGCTCAATGGAGCCATCAGAGTTGTGCTTGAACTTAAAGACCCACTTGCCACCAATTGCCTTTTCTCCAGGAGGTAGTTCCACAAGTGACCAAGTTCAATTGTGCTCATGAGCTTGGAGCTCTTCCATGGCTGCTTCTCTCCATTTATCTGCATCAGGACACTTCATTGCATCTGCAAATGACCTAGGCTCAGCAGAGTCTCCAAAGTGTGCCACTTCATCATCAACTGCCTCAGAATCACTACTATCACTGTTATCACTCTCAATGGCAGGAGTAGGTTGTCTGTGTTGAAGCCACCATGGTCTAGGTGGTCTCCTAGCCCTTGCAGGGCGTCTCAGTGCAATAGGCAAGTCAGGAGAAGGTGAGCGATAAGGAGGGTGATCTGGAAGCTCAAGAGGTTGATTCACAGGTGGTTTTGCATCAAGGTCCAAATCAGGCCCATAATCAGGCAAGTGCTAAGGTTGCTGAGGTTGCTGAAGTACAGCTGGTGGGTCAATATCTACCCCTGGACCTGGTGCAGGGACATCCTCATTCAGGCCCAAAGGCATGGGAAGTGAAGGTGGAAAAGGTGGAGTAGGAATGGCAGTGGTAGAAGTTGATTTCAAGCCAGGGAAGTAGCGCTCATCAAAATCAGCTCTCTCAGAGATAATAGTGTGTTTGGTGGTAGGATTGTAGAATTTCCAACCCTTATACCCAGCAGAGTAACCAATGAACACACATTTCTCCATGTGAGAGCCAAAGACACCTCTTATATCCTTTTGCACATGCACATAAGCAGTATACCCCCAAACACAAAGGTGTGACATGTCTGGTTTATGTCCATACCACAATTGATAAGGAGTAGCATTGACCACTGCATCAGTGGGACACCTATTCCAGATATGCACCAAGGCACATAGGCATTCACCCCAGAAGATATTAGGCAATCCAGACTCTGAAAGCATGGTAGTGATTCTTTCAGAGAGAAGCCTGTTTGCTCTTTCTGCAACTCCATTCTGCTGAGGCCTATTCCGGGTGGTATGCTGTCTGACAATGCCATGATCATCTGTGAATTGCTCAAACTCCTTGGAGATGTACTCTCCCCCTTTGTCATTGCGCAGAGCCTTGATTTTTCGCTCCAATTGAGTCTCAGCATAAGCCTTGAAACTCTTGAAAGCATTAAAGGCATCTGACTTGGCCTTCAAAGGGACAACAACACAAAATCAAGTGTAATCATCGATGAAGGTGACCCAATATTGATACCCAGAGAATGAAGGGGAGGAGACTTGGTGTACATCAGAGTGGATGAGGTCTAGAGGGTGAGCAGAGCGATGAGAAGATGAAGGGAATGGGTTGGCAGACATTTTTCCAGACAGACATGGTTCACAGATAGGATCAGGAGTAGATTTAGACTCAAGTGTCATTCCAGTAACAAGGTTTCCTTGTGTCAATTTCTTGACATCAGCATAGTGGTGGTGAGCCAATCTTTGATGCCAAAGGTTTAAGTCAAGTGGAATTGTTGCAGAAAAGTGTCCCAATTCAACACAAGAAACAGTAGTTCCATCAAGGAATGCAGCATTATTGTTGTTGATGGTTGCAGTGAATAAGAGAGTGTTGCCACGTATGAAGGACATAGATTGAGATGAAATGATGACTTTAAAACCACTTTGACGAGTTAAGTACAAGACTGAGAGGAGATTATTTTGAAGATCTGGTACATGCAGCACTCTGGAGAATTCTACAGCCCTTGATTCCTTGCCATTGATGATAGGGTTAAACACCACAGTACCAATACCAGCTGAATAAACAACAATATGATCTGCTAGCTTTATGGGAACACAATATAGTGCATAATTGCAAATCCAGTGACAATGAGGTGTCATATGAGAAGTGGCACCTGTGTCTGCATTCCAATCAATGTCGGCATCAAGCTGGAGAGGGCAGTGTAAGTCAGAGGGATGGATAGAGTGGAGGCTTGCATTTCTAGCCGACTCTGCAACCACAGTAGAAAAATGGTATTTTGCACCAGATATGGCAGATTGATTACAATGATGGCAGTTAGGAGATGACCAAAAACAATGAGTAGGAGCAGAATATGAATGAGGAGTACATTTAGTTTTATCCATGGTGTGGAAATGAGCTGGCGAAGCAGTGGAGGTGGATAATGGAGAAGGTCCAAAAAGTGCACAAAAAGGTCCAAAGAGTCCAAAAGAGTCCAAAAAAGCGGTCCAAAAGCGGTCCAGGAGGGTGCTAAGGCCTCCTAGTGATGCTACAGGGTTACGCCTGTGTTCCCCTTTCAATACTACACTGATATTAACAGAGAAATCGCCTCGAGACAGTGTTGGTTAAAAAGGCTTGTATATGAGTCAACAAAGTGACTTAAGCTCCCCAAACACCACAGACTGAGAGAGGCTCTGGGCAACAGCAAACTGAGGCAATGCAGGCAAGCTTCACAGTCTATAGGCTTGTTCTATCTGATAATGGACAGAGCAGAGAAGATTGGAGCTTTATGCAAGCACCAGATATGCCAAAAAGCGAAAATATAGGCCAAAAAAATCGAAATTGTCACAGGGACAGATGGAGTGGATGGATTGCCCCCAAAATATAGGTGTGGAGAGCGAATATATGGTGCAATAGATAGGCCAAGTATGGCCAGAAACGAAGCACAGGGAGTGGAGGAGTATAATAGGGTGGAAGTGGTGATCAGATAATGATAGGGGCTCACAGGGAGATCAAACTCAAAATCCACCACTCTGAGGAGTCTCCTAGAGTTTTCAAGGTCGTAGAAGACAATGGTAGGAGTTTGGGGACAATCAGATAAGGATTGGGTGAGATATGGCACTGATAAGGCCAAAAAAGCGTCCAAAATAAGGTTCCAAGCAATAAAGGCTTATAGGGATGACAAAACCGGATAAACCCGGTCTCTGCCAAAGCAGCCATTGTTCTCCATGGAGCATAGCCACCACTCCATGGAGTAACCATTGTTCTCCTAGGAGCACAATGTTCCGGGTGCTACACGTGCCGTAAAATTTGAATGGGCAGATTTGCCTGACGGATGTGCAATGATGGTGGTTGAAGCAGGAGCCGAGGTGACAGAAATGGCTGCTCCCGTTGTTATGACCTCAGGTGTACGGAAAGCATGGGCACCTTGTGTAACGACCAAGAGTTTCTTACTCTGGCGCACAACTTGGACAAGCAAAAGAGAAGAGAGAAAGGAGGGATCACCCCTCAGGTTTCAACAAGTTTGTTGTGCTAGACAACAGGAGGACTTGCTGAGTCCCTCCCCATGTATTGCTCCAGTATATATACTAAAATACATGAGGTACTGTACAGTTGTAAATAAAGTTTAAAGTCCGATGTCTAGCATGTGACTATGAAAAGTCCGAAAATGTAAAGTAAAGTAAATGGTCACATGATCAGTCATGTGACTTGGGAAACAAAAGGTAAAAGTACAAAAAAATGAAGCATAAGTAGGTGCTGGTATGTCAATTGTAACACCTTGTGCGCCAGCACCAGCCAGTAATGGTGTGAGCCTGTTAAACAGTGCCCACCCCTTCGTCTTAAAGGGTGCTACCAGCGGATATTGCTAGCATCTGTGTAAGTCGACTCACCCGGGTGATCACTATGTAGTCTGCATACCTTAACAAAATCATTCCACAGGGTCTTGCTTTCCGCTGTGATTATGAGACCTGTTGACGAGTCATAATACATACCGGATCCGTGGTTGATCAGTCCTTTAAGGCTTTTGTATGTAGTTTTGATCTACGTGATAAAAATTATGATGGGCACATTACCTTAGAAGTGTTGAGACTGTGCATTGGACTTACCCTTCTACATTTTTCACTGCAATGCTTCCTTGTTTTGGGTGCACCTACTGTGTGGTGCGGTGCTAAATGTGCTACTAAATTGTTCCAAAAATCTTTCTGGAAAGTTTGGCCTGGGCATACTTCTTCCCAGTTCTTTATAATATAATCTACGAGCAGGGTCTGGTCCTTGCCTGGCCACATAGCCTTGCTCGACAAGGTATCAGATGCATCTGTGGCCGCTGGGGGGGCATTATTGATTGCAAAGCTGATATAAGCTCCTTCAGGGCCCAATTGGGGGAGAATAGGCTGCATTTTCAGTGAGTGTTGAAGTTGTTTGTGCTTAGGATGGAGATCCTGGATTATTAACTGTGAAGATAGCTTCCTCTTCACATCAAGAAAAATGGGAGTAGCTACATAGAGCTCTATAGCACTATAAGTACTCATAAAGCTGTTATAGTGGTCAAACCTGTTATAGAACCTCTTCCATCTATAGAGCCTCACATAGCCCTATAAATGCTCTTATAGATGTTGGAAATTGTTGTGTGGCTGACAAAAAGAAATTAACACAAACAGGATTTGAACTCTCAACCTGCTAGTCAGCTCTTGGGTGACTAAGCATCCCATAGCCACATATCACATTTATCCACTACACCATAAAGGCTTATAAAATATATTATACAGGTGTTATATATTGACCTTTTATGGACTTAGACTAATTTTTTACTCATTGTCACTACTTATATTTGGATAAATCATTATTCTTATTTTGTGAGTATCAGGGATACAAACTACTATTTCACTAATACAGGCTACACAATTACTTAATACTGTATAATTTATTAGCCCTTTTAAGCACCTTGAACTATATTATAACTATGACCTTCACAGCTATAAAAGCTATGTAGGCTGCTATAGGCTATAAGAGCACTTATAGTACCTTGCCTATAATAATATACTTAACTCCGAACACTTCTGGCCTCTTTCTATCATTGAACAAGTTTATTAGATTAATCCAGAGTTTGAGGGAATTATAGATACTTCTCCCCTTGGTTAAAATTTTGCCTGCTACTGTGCTATAAGAGCTATAAGAGCTATAATTGTACTGATTGTACTATAGTTTCTATGAATGTGTTTATATATATAGGTGGTGGCTATATAGCGCTATATAGCAAAAGGGTTTTTCCTGATGCATGAGACGGGTCTGGGGCATGGTGAGGTAGATGGTGGTATTGGTCTGAGTGCCAAAGGGTGGTGTTGCGGCACACCAGCATGAAAATCAAAAAACAGAATTTCTCGCTAAAGCGCTCGGAAAATTGTTCCCGTACAGACTCTTATTCCCGGACCCGTAGGATCCAGGTTTACATTTTGCAATTGAAGTTTTTTTCTTTCAAGGAGGCTTTATACCCAATTTGTATTTCCATCAAATCAGAGGCTGTGCTTTTTCTTTCTCCGCTTTATCTTGTCTTCATTGTCGTCTCCCTCTCCACCATTACCTCTTGTCATGGGCAACCAACAGTTTTACCCCCAATGCCGACACATCTTCTTTGTAGATCTCTGTTGGCCATATCAATTTTTCTGATCCTGTCAATCAACCTCCTTTCACATTGGATACTCTGCCTGCTACTCAAATCCCTACTTCCAATCTTGGTATGTGTTTCTCACTTTTTTGCCACGGACGTCACTCACATTTTGTGTTTGTTTTTGGATGGCAAATACACGATGTTCAGTTTTACATGTGGATTGATTGATTTTGATTTGCAAAATGAAATATACCCAATATACTTTTGACTCTGCAAAAACATTTTCATGTTATCAGGATCTGATGTTAGCACTGTTATGCCAGCAGTTATCACCGATGTCCCTGTACATGCTTTGGATGATAGTCACTTGTATATCACCACCTACCTACTGAATTGTTCCTTCAAATTTCTCAATATCTATAATCATGCTCCTATACATCGCCATGATTGTTGGCCTAAAGGCAAATATATTGTTGTGAGCTTTGAAGATTTAGCCTCCTTACTAGATAAATTTGATTTCTGCGTGATGTTGACATTTGCATGCTGGCTGCAGCCCATCATTTATGACTGCCAGCTAACAATAGGAAGGTTTGGATGTTAAGGACTCTATGTTCCCATACTTGTACATCACAACGTCTGCCAGCCACTTTGTTGTTTGAACCTTTGTGGGTTGAACGTCCTTTTTCATGTCTCAGACTTGATCATCCCAGAACTAAAAATTTCCCTGATGATGATACAGTCCAACAGCTTTGAAATGAGTTGCACAACACAACTTGTTCTTGTCAGCAATCTAGACATGTGCTTGTCAATGATGCACCTGATGATGACCTCTTTCCTCCTGCACCAGCTCTGCAGTTGAAGCGATCCATCATCACTGAATGGCAAGAGACACTGACTTATGATGCTCAGGCTTGCTCCCCTTGTGCTGTATATAGTCATAGCAGTGTTTGATCTGCTTTGTCTTGCATTCATGCCAATGATTTTTGTTCACAATTACTACAGAATGCATGCTTGCTGCTTCCCACTGTTCCCACTGTTCCTTCAACTTACAACCTTGAGGCCTATCAATATGCATTACTAGATACTAGAGCATTGAAAAACCTGAATGCTCCCGGTTTTATATGGTTTTATGTGGGTGTGTAATTCATGCAAAAGGTGTCTTGTACATGATGAAAAGCAACTGTTGGATGCCATTGCCAACTTTCAGTACTATGAAACTTGTGAATTACCAATGGATGTATCTCAATGTTGGGAGACTGCTACTTTGTATGATATTATGATGGTATCCTGGGCTTGCGCGACCAAACTTCCCATATCTTTGCTTACAAGACAAATGCTGGTCAGTTTGGTTACAATCCTGCAATGTCTCAAAAAGACATCAAAGGCAATGCTGCTGTCATGCCCCAAGGTTCTGTACAACTGCGACAAGCCTTACCTCCTTCCCTTCTCGACTTGAGATTTCTGACACTATGTGTGCTTTGTTTGTTGGTTAGAAAGTGAAACCTACAAGAGAAAACATTGCATCTTTGAAGCCCGTTCTTATGTCAAAGTGACGTATACAAACCTTGATTGATTTCCTTGTTGTGAACAACATTTGGTAAATAATTGCGGGTGTGTCTTTCAGTGCTGACAATCTTTCCTGTATCCTGAGAGTATGCAAGACATTGAGGAGGCAGTTCCTGTAGCAGTCAAGATTTGTCACTTACAGTTTGACTATGGAAGCCTTGCTACCACCTCTGATTACACTGATCAAAGAGATATTGAATCTGCTGTGCAACATGAAGCCCACCTTGATACTTTGCTAATATACACTGTTGGATGTGCAGCAGGGGACTATACTCCCAAAGACTACAAGTTAATGAAAGCACAATCATTATCGCGGGTAATTAATGGCGGAAATTTTCTGGAAATGCAATCAGATTCTCAGTTTATCAACAACAGAGACCTGTGATTAATGGGTTACCTATTTCCTCACTTGGATTCCTGGGAAATAGGTGGCTTCAACGAACCAAAACACCAACCTGATCAGCAAATATCATTTGAGTAGCAGGTGTGCAACTTGCTGAAACAACATGACTTACCGTTCCAGAAAGATCCTCAATTTGCATATGTATGTATGTTGGAACATTCTGCAGAAAAGGGAGGTTACTAAGAACACATCATTCACTGTTAACTCTCATGAGTGTGATACAATTGTGCAGGAAATGAAGTTTCTTGCACCTGAACTGGCTAACATGATATCTTCCTGGGAATGTGATCCTGGTGCCAAACCTTCAAATCGGCAACAGAGATGAGCATTAAAACTGTTGAGCTGTTTAAAGTTTGCTGCAAAGGAACTAAAAAGTAGCTTCAGATACAAACTGTGCAGGAAAAATGAGATTTGAGCACTTATTAAGAAATTTGGAACCCCTACTTTATTGATCACTTTGAATCCCACCAATTTGTATAATCTGCTACTGGGAGTCATTGCTGGTCTGACAGCTGAACATTGGCGTGAAATGTTGGCTTTTGAGCATGGCATTTTTGTTGTAAACAACCCTGGTCCCACTGCTGAGTTCTTCAACACCATGATTAAGTCATTCCTGGATAGTTTGGGCACTGTATTGCACAATTGCACATTATGGTATAGTTGAAGCGCAAGGGCCTGGCACATTGCATTATCACATGCCCTTGTGGATCAAAGGGAATCTGAATCTGCAAGTCCTGCATAATGTAAGGCAACATTAAACTATAACAAAAATGATACCTGTCTCCGACTACACTTGTTGAGAAGATAGGTTTGTCGAGAGGGAAAAATGAAACAAATAAAGGTCTGTCTTCCTGGCTGACAGTGTTAGATTCTAGGGGGCAAATTAAAGCGGATGCAAGACCTTGAGCATACTGAACAGGTTGAATAATCATTTTGAGAGAGATAGACCAAGACCCATTCCACCGTATTCCTAAGTATAGACATCAGCTATGGGAACCGCCCAAGGACATCATCACTTATTCTCACTCTAGTAGTGGAGTCGCCCACCTGACAGAATGTATCAATAATTGGGTTGAGTTTGTCCTTTGCAACACCAATAGCAGCGCCCGTTACACAGAGCTCCAATGTGACACTTTGATCATACAATGCTAGGAGCTCCGTACTTTGGGTGACAAGGCCCTTGTGAGTAACTTTGGACAGAGAAGACTTGATGGTGTTAACCACTAAGTCTGTAACAACTTGTTGTAGTTGTAATGAATCATCAATCAGTTTGCCAGGAATATCAGGGTCCACGCCATACATCAAGTCAGGGTTGTTCTGAGAGGCACAAACAACTAACATCTTCCAAAAACAGTCTGGCAAAGGGAATGCAAAACTGGCCAACCTCAACTACAGTAAAATATGTTATTTATTATCAGAAACACAGGTATTATCACGGGACAACGCACTCTTTGAAATATCCAAGATATCATCAATAATCAATAGTAGTGAGCATGCCAAGGAATGTCACCATCCATAGCAGCTGCTGATATCTGTGCAAAACCACGAACTTGCATGGCCAAATTGCTGGCCATGATGTTCACGGACATACTAGTAAGGCAATATCTTGTTAATAGACGTCAGCTATTGGAACCACCCAATAACACCAAGACTTATCCTCACTCTAGTAGTGGCAATCCATTTTTGCTTTGAAGAGCAAGAAAGAAGTGAAACTGGGTAAATGATCCCGGAAGCTGGAAGTGTGGTGTAGTGCATTAAATGGCTGAGAAAATGAGAAAATGGCTGAGGAAATGAAGAAGATGGTTGGGGGTCAATCAACAATAAAGAGTCAGACATATGAAGACACCAGTGTACCTTGTGAGGGTATCATATCATCACCACTGGCACCACATAGTGGCACTGATTTATCGTGGAAATATCAGTCAAAATTACCTTGTTCTTCCATATCTTCATTGTATGTTTTGAAAATTTGCTCATATGTACATTGATCTTCATCTGCACCCAAATCCAAGTGGATAGTATCCGAATCTGATCCCCCACCCCCGCCAATAGGGCCTTTTTGATTTTCATAAGCATTGTCATCAACATCAGAATCAGCAAGACCTTGATCTGAGTCTGTATGAGCAGCATAGCATATGGGATAATACCAGCCGTACTAGTATCATGAGTGCCATTGCTGACTGTGAAGCTTTCTCTTCTGATAAGTCTTCTAGCTGTGGTCCATCAGCAGGTGTAGCATGCACTATTACATTTTGAGCAAGGTCTGGTGTGTTCCTAGTAAGCCGTCTTCAATAGTATTAATTAGTGCTGAACAGCTTTACTAGTGAGCCTTTGCCCCCTCCACCACTGATGGAACCAGTAGGCTGTGCAAGTCCCTGCCATTCCAAAAACCTCGCATTGTAAAGTTGAGTTACCTGGGTCAATATCGTGTGTCTGCTTTTGAAGTTCAAATCCAAGGCTCCCAATAGATAGTTAGAGCATTAAAAATATGGGGCAGCCAACACATGCCCGGCAAACACTCACAACATACCACTGTCATGTTAGAATATACTCTGACATACCAATACTCCATAGGATAATACCTCTGATTTGTAAGCCAGCCCAGTATGCAGCAGCTATTCTGTGTAAGACGTCCGTGGTTGCATGTTATGTTTAAGATCCTATGTTGTATAACCTTGGCCATATAGCTCAATTGGTAGAGCAGCTGGCATGTATCCAGAAGGTTCCAGGTTCAATCCCTGGTCTGGTCAATATCCAATTTTATCATGTCAGCCACCTATGTACAACATTTCCCCAAAGTGTTCACAGCCCGCCATAATGTCCGCACGGTATGATGTTAAGCTATACAACCAATGGTACCGTACATATGCCTGGCTCCATACAGCAACAACAATAAAATGTAACATAGTATAGGCTCTAGGCACCATAACAACAATATGTACATATCTCAACTAATACTACAATGGGAATACAGTATGGTTGATAAAAAATAATTTCATGCTATATTAAACAGTATTGCATGTAAGCTGCACTGAAACTATGGTTGCACTTTACATGGTGCAAGGTCCAGCCCGTGGCTCTGCCACTGGTGTGATGTTTTTGTTATATGATAAATAATAATAATAATAATAATACTGTCAAGTGATCAAAATGTTAAGTCAGTGGACTTGTGCTGTCTGTAATGTATGTTCAGTGAATCCTATGATGCATGTTTGACTTGCTGTTCTGCCGTTGAATGTCCTTATAAGCCTGCCCTAAATATGTGCACAGTATACTGAATTCAAGCAGATGATTCATTGAATCTTTACAAACATCAACATATATTGTAACATAAAAAGTCTGTGGGTATTACATTGATAAATTGATGAGAAATATAAAAAAAAACTCCAGAAATGGTAAAGGATGATAATATGATCTGAGAACAAAACACTTTAGTAAAAAGGGTGAGAATTGGAGAAAAATCTACTTGCCAGTCACAGATAAAGCCAGTCAGAATTTCAGGATATACCACATTGACAGTACATCTGTCATTTGAGTCTGTCATTTGAACCATGTGGAAATAGCACTTTTGTTCTCTCTCCTGAAGTGCAGCGAGACAATGCAACATAAAATTGCCCATGTGAAAACACTGGAACATATAAATCCAGCCCAACCTGTGTCACCAATTGACCTTAAGACTTGTTGATGGTCATGGCAAAGGCAACACGGACAGGGAATTGACAATGTGATAGCTTGATGGGCAATTCTTATGATGAAGGTTCCAATGTGAGGCATGGAATAAAAGCTATTTTTCCTGCATGTTTTCCTCCCAAGACATGGCACTTCAATATTCTTCTCTTCATCTCTATCAAAATCATGCGTGTTCCATTACAGAGTCCATTTAGGGGATCAATATTGTGGAGGAGCATAAGTGGATATCCAGCTTTAAGTTTGAGGTGCGCTTCAGGAAGGCCAGATACTTGCAAGGAGTTCAAGAATTCCACAGGATAATGTTTATGCCCCTCTCCAACCACTTTGTCAATTGACAGAGCTACTAACTCTTCTCCAGGGAATTTTGGGAGGATTGCTGAATTAAGGTCGCTAATAGCATCATTTTTTGTGGAGAAGATGGTGCGGTGGAGGAAATAATGGTCATCTTTGTCTCCATTTGCAATTCCATGATAGGTAGTGTTGACTAATGAGTCTATGGTGTTTTCTCGCATAAGCATGTTGGTGGGGAGCTCAATAGTTCCATCTTCTGCAATTCCACAACCACCCATCAACATCCAGGAGCCAGCTAGCAAAGGCTTTGCTTTCTGGAGTACGGTCAAGGCACATGTTCTGTGTGAGATAGCAGACATAGATATTTGTCCACAGTTGTGACCTTCTAAGAAAGGCAGATATAATATGTGTAGAGATTATATTATGTAAGCAAACTTTGGAGCTTCGCCCGAAGCTTTACTCTGTGATTACAACCAGCCTTTTGTGGCTATCATTGTCTTTTACATGATATTTACATATGTTTGTTATATAAGAAGCATGTATTTACATTATTATGGCATTCATTTTCCAAAATAATCCTTCTCCCGCGCCTGTTCCTGTGCCCTGTGGGACCAGATATCCAACAATATGTTGCCTTGACTCTCTTAGAACAACAGGTGTTGTTCAGTGGAAGTCCCCTCCAAAGACCATTATAATGCCTCCAAATGGAAGCTGATTATCCAAATTGTCCTGCAATGTATGGTTCAATGCTTCAATTCCCTGACGGTGTTGAATTGGTGCTTTATCCCAGACAATAACTTTGGTATGTCTCAATACCTCATGGAGGTCAGAGTTTTTGGAATCCTGCCTGTGGATGTTTCATGTACAGGAATAGGGATTCCAAAGCATGAATGAGCTATGCAGCCACCCTCCAAGAGCAGGGATGCAATCCCAAAGGATGCTACATATAAAGCAACATTATGATTATCCCTTTCTCGGACAACGACTGTCATTGTATTACAGATATATTGTTTTGCCCCCACCTCCAGCACTGTGAATGGGGGAGGCAACACCAAGAAAAGTGTGAGCTTATATAATCAGAATGTGCGCACCTGAGGTGGCAAATTCACTATGCCATTGTACATTCTCTCCTGACGCTCAAATTCAAGCTTGTATCTCATTGAGGGACTACAAAAGCAACCTGGTAAACTACAATTAATGACAGAGCTGATATACTAGCTAGTTCGAATGAATGTAGTCCTCCCTTGATGCTCAAAACTCATCATGGTCACTACCTGTTAGTTTTAGTGATTCTGCACCTAGTTGTGCTATCTATTTTCCCTTCTTTCTGAATCACTTTCCTCTTTATTCTTTTTGCTGTATTGTTCAGTATTCACTGAGCATTCTATAATTTCGCCTTTGTGGCTAATTTGTTTACCTTTGTTTAGAAAATCAGGTCGGACACGACGATGGTGGAATCATATCTTGCAATGTCAAAATGGGACGAACTTTGCCGTCCGTGGTTAGAATCCTTCATTCACGATGTATAGGCCACCTTTTGTTCATATGTTAATCTACATACCTTGTATTTGTAGCTCTGTAGAGTGAAATCTTATGTGGTCAATGTTTGCATAAAAATGGCTGATATAATGAAGGAGTGCACAACAAAGTATACTAGTTGACAATAATGGAGACAATAACTTAATCCTCTGCGCACCAATTCCGCCTAATAATTGCCCCACATTGCTGCAGCTATTGTGTCTCAACGACTGCTTGCTTCAAGCCTGGCCGCTTTAGTTGGAGGGCCTTCTGCTAAGGTTCCCATTTGTGAACTGGGGTTGGGGTCCAAAAGGTTGCTCTCAAAGTCATCAATTTCACTCAGATTGTGAATCCAAATAAAATTGTGGATGATGCAGAGCGCGGGGGGAATAAGGGCCTGAATTGCCATGCTGTACTCTGGTGCAGCATTGAGAATTGGAAAACAGTGTTTGAGCACACCAAAGATCTGTTCGATGATGTTGCAGGCAGATGCATGGCAAAGATTAAAGAGTTCTTGAGGAGTTTGAGGCCTAGAGAAAAAGATGAGTATTAACTCTGGTAATTTCTGGCCTCTTTTAATACCATTTATCTTACAAATGAATCTATACTTGGAGTGTCAATTGTTGAGTACAGTTAGGTGGAGTGTGAGGTTCAAATGTACATGGGTAAAATGTGGTCTGAGATAGTGGTATCCCGCTCTCGCATATTTACTACTGAGCTCCCTTTTGTTTCTATTTGCATGACTAGTATATCTCCAAGAAATTTTGCTGCCAGATCAAGATAGAGTAACAATGTGTTTGTTGGGGGATGGCAGTGTCACTTGAAAAAAATGTTGTACCGGTATAAATTATACCCTTCATAAAATTGTACCACACAATTGTGGATATAGGGTTGTACCTATGACACTGAGAAAAGCAATCCAGCATATGGGTATTGAGCACCAGCATGAGCCAAATTTGAAATAGTACAAGTAGGAATCTTTGTCAAAAATGGCTTCAGGAGAGTAGCAGGATACAGGCGGCATTTAAGCCTCAATTTGACTGTCTATTAATGTTGGTTAGTAATAGAATTTGGTAATAGTAGAACCTGGCTCACATCCTTTGAAGGGGGGTAAAAAGTACGGCAGTTGGGCATTGTGATTGAATAAGTTGGTGGGCAACAAGATGCATGGCTTTTGACTATCTGGGGGTTTTTGTTAGACAAAACGAGGTGGTGATGGCAAAAATTTACAATAATATTTTGCCAAGCGGTTCAGATATTATCCTGTGGGTTCTCAACCTCACAACTGCCCCAATTAAGATGAACCTCTTGTCTACCATTGCAGACCAAATTTTCTTGCGTGAAGTTGCACAATTGATCATGTCAATCCTCTACCAATGTTTTTGTCTGATTTTTGTCTGATCAAATATATTGTCTTGATTCAAATTGCAACAGATCACCTCAGCTTATCTGGCTCTCTTCAACCAATGTGTCATCTGTGACTCAATTTAATGATATAAGGCATGATATAAGGCAATAATACTAAGAAACTCAAAGCTATCTCAACAATTGCCCCCGTTATTTCTTTGCTTGCAACTGATTTCTGTCTCCTTAATAACATGGACACCCAAACCTGGCTTTATCTTGGCCAGGATTCCCTTGACAATTAAGTCCAAGACTGTTTGTCACAGTTGTCGCTTTTTCATGATGACTCCCACAATGACTGATGATGAGATGATGGAGGTCCAAAGCCGATTATTAACACCAGTAGGCATTAAGTTTACTGTTTCTTTCTTTCTTGGATTTGTCTAACCTTAGTTAGATCAACAGCCTAGAACTAGAGCAAGAAACAGAAACATTGATATCCGGACCAATCAACCTAGCACACACTGTGCAACGACATAACGAGGAAATATCCTATCCTGATAGGATAACCAACACCTATGTCCAGCCTATGAGGAAGATTGTTGTGAGTAAGCAATGAACACAGAATATTAAAAGTTTTGCTGATGTAAATATATGAGAACAAAAAAAGGTTAATCAACAAGGAAATACTGTCCAACTCTAAACGGTATTATTACAAAGTAGATAAATCCATGAAGCTGCAAGAGCGCCTGCACAAAATGGAGAGAGAAAAAGGTAAAGATAAAGAAAAAATGTACAATCAGGTGAGCTGTGAATACCCATGCAAAGTCATTGTATTGATGCAGGAGTAGATAAAAAGGCTCACAGAAAGCCTAGTTGTGGAACAGGAAGAGTTTATAACAAACTTTCAAGCATCTATGGCTACTGCATTACGAGATCAGGAAGAAATCTGAACACAAAATCAATATGAACAAAACCAAAAGGTGGAGGAGTTTGTAAGGATAAGTGCACAACACTTGGAAGCCGAGAAGACCGCATACCAGGAGGAACTGCAAAGAGCTTTTGAGGCTAGATTTTCCAGCAGGGTGCAGAAGCAAGGAGAACAATCTAGCCAGCAAGTTGAGGCAAGATTGGTAATTGCTTTGCGCCGTAAATTAAAAATATCAGAAGGTGTCTGCCAGGATAAGATTAGTAGCACATGCAGTAGCAAAAATAAACACATAGCTTTACCATCACTCATCATTTGATTAGATTGAGCTAGGTGAAGCCAACTATAGCCCATCACTATCTAATGGATCTTTGACATCTCAGATACCATCATCAAGGGAGCCCAGTGGAGTAGACAATGATGAGGATGATAAGATTGTATCCTTGATTAAAAGGGCAGTGTGACAAGCATTCCCCGGTCTTTCCTCCTCTTCTTTCGGACAGGCAGCCAGGAATATTGACACATAGCAAGAACAAGTGAAATCTCCTCGTGGCAAGCAGAGGCTGAAGGCAATTGAAAGAGAGCAGTGCTATAATAACAAATAATTGAACAAGTAGTATGTGGTTAGTAACATGAGATCTCTGTTATAACTTTACATCTACTCACTGATATATAGGGATTAGTTCAACGTGTATTCAAGTCAAAATTTACAGTGGACAAAGACAAAGACTTTGCTGTTCACGAGCCTGCTGCTACAAAAGACATTATCACATTTAATCAAGGAGATGGTAATGCAAGTGGACCAGACGGAGAGGACTTGCATTTTGATATAAAAGGCAATAAAAATTCAGAGTGGAACAATAAAGTCATCCGGATTTTATTTAAGGACTTAAAGGAAGAGAGGGTAGAATGGTGTCTCCCTGATGTCCCCAAAAGCTACCTTATCGACTTGATCAATGTGAAATTCAACAGGGTTAGGACATATTGGAAATTGGCGCAAAGGCAAACCAAGTCTGACGAGCTCAAGACGTGGGAAGAGGTGGAGAACAGGCTGATAAAGAAACCAGATGAAAGGTTAAGCAACACTAGAAAACAGGAACAGTGGTGCAATGTAAGTCATTCACTTGATACTCAATACACTGTGCTCACACTTGATTCATAGAAATTTAAGCGCAGACAAAGAACATTGACTGCAGTCATTGAAGTCAAGAAACACAATGGAGCGCCAGATATAGCAGTTTGGAAATGGTTGGAGGAGCTAGTGAACCATTTGTTGGAATTGTCAAGGTCAAAGCCTGGGCCTTGTTAGACAACATTGTGCAATTGAGTGTTGATATCCAAGGGCTGGTAGCTCAGTTGGTTAGAGCACCGCCATATATAGGCAGGAGGTCTTGGGTTCAATCCCCGGCCGGTCCAATTTGCTTTTCTGTACTCTCTGAGTCCACTGTGGATTATTACACCATTTGGGTGAGGATGGCATGATTTTGGAGGAAAGTGATGTGGATAGAGACAATGAAGGGACAGTTGAGAAGACGTACAGAGTGAACATGATGTTTTGGAGGAGAAATATTGAGAAAGAGCTGAGTATAATCAATAAAACGAGATTTCTGGATGATAACTTATATTCACAGCAAGGCTCTAAACCCGCCAGACAAAAACAGAGCAAGAACAATCCATTTTCAAAACGGAAGCCTGTTCCAGGGCTTCCCAAGATCCTTTATGACAATGATTGGTTCTAGGACCAGAGTAGGAGTTACCGTGAGCTCACCATCAAGGTTTCCAAAGAGCAGTTTAGATGGTTTGAGGTGACAGCACAAGGAGTAATGAGGATATAGTGTTGCTGAAGGCACAGATAAACTTACCTACTTGAAACCATACAATCTTCTTAAATGCCTGTAATTAATGTGTATATCTTCATGCAGATTGTGATCCTAAACAGCAGGCGGGATATACAAAGCATCGGAGGAGGTTTATTATGGTAGGTTTATCTCGAGATGTGTATAGGACTTGGTTGGTGAATTTGTGTTGTTGGAGGGTGGTAAGTTGAGCTATTGATGGGGCAATAAGGCCATGGGGCGACGGTACACTGATGTTTGTGCATCTTGGGATGTGAAAACACCCTCTGCCATAGAGTGGTCACGGTGGCTGAAGTTTGGCTTTGTTGATATTGTAATTGACGTGACTGATCCATAGGCCTTAACACTGCCAATTTTGACCACAACCATCCAAGCACTTGCGATGTTTCTACATTGCATTTGCTTTGTTCCTCAAGGCATTCACGTACCACAACACACCTGCTACTGCAACATTGCAACATTGCAGACACTTGTTCCGCAAGGCCATCCAAATCAGTATCATGATGCTCAACCATGATTGCAACTTTTCTAATTTTGGACATATTTGTATTCCACACAGACCTTGGCAACAGTTCTCCATTCTTTTTTTATTATATTAGAAGTCTACGTTGCAATAGTCTACAAATGTAACAATGAATATTCCATGCTCTATGCATAAAAAAACTTAGAAAATGTTAACATTTATTCCAAACTTTTGACATAGCTGTGCTTGTTTGCTTCAAACTGTTTAGTTTGTTTCTACAGTCTGATCAGTGCAAAGTCATTTTAAACTGTGGGTTGTCAATAGGTTCAGGCTGACCCGCTAATTTACTACCTTTTAGTTAATTGCACCAAAATGCCAAGGTGTACTTCAACATTTTACTGTACTTGCCATGAATGTCTGGAGCAAGGAAACCTTGACTCATCTGGTAGACCTATCAGAAAAGTACTACCTATGCGGGTACATATACTACATCTGGCTAGGGCGAAAAATCAGCAAATGCAACAGTTTGCATTCCCCCACGACAGATCTCAAACCACGTCTACTACATCTGGAGATGTGCTTAGCGCCCAATTATTCACATTGACAATGGCTGATGAAGGCCCAGATTTATACAGCCAGGGAACAGCACAATGGGGATTTTGTTATAATGCCCCTCAAAACCTTGTTTTTGTTCTGAAAGGTGACCTCCTTTGTGTGGATGTCATAAACAATATCACTGATAGCCTCAGGTGTCTTGCCCTATTGAGGGAATCTAATGTTCATGATCAACAAGACAATGAAACCCCAGTTTCTTCATCACGTTCCACAGAACTCAAAGAAAAGGAATATTGCAGACCTATGCAGTGTCATACCACATCGTCTAGAAGAAGAGGGAAAAATAAGGCGACCAAAATGGCTCTTGAGGTTTTAAACACTGTCGACACCAGGATATGGGTCCTACATGGACAGCTTACAAATAACCCTTTATTTGAGGCTGTAGAAGAAACAAGGACCCAACGGAGCGGCTTGCATAAATCTATTGAAAAAGTGCACCATAATGTTGACTCAATTGCTCAGTTAAAGGCAGAAGTTACTTGTAACCTGGCTGTCTTAGAGACACATCTGGCTACGTTCACAACGGGCATCTCCTCTACTGATAAAGGTTCTATCATATACAATTGCAGTAAGGCACTTGCTGCAATTTCTATTCTTAATCTAACTTGTGTATTTTCAAGGCTATCATTACAAACAGCCTATTGATTATTGTACTCAGGTCACACAAGTTGCAATGTTATTAGCTGCTGTGTGCAGTGTTCTCATGGGTGTTGCTCAATGGGGCGGTAATCTACTCCTTAGCATGCTGCACCTTATACTCTAAACAGATCCTTGGGGGCATCTCATGCCAATACACTAGAGCAGATTCCAACAAATATCAACATTGCACTTTCCCGACTTAATCATCAAAGTCAGTCCACCACCTATGCCATATGCCTCACTTGCAACTATACATACAAACCAATGTTCATCATTGGTTCTGCTATCGCTCAGTACCCTATGTTTTGTACCAACAGGCCAAAACCCAACTCAAATGTTTGCAACGAGCTGCTTTTGCAAGATCAGAGACCAATCAAACTGTTTGTCTATTGTCATTTCCTAGATTATCTCAGCAATATACTATCCCAAGAAGATCTTGAGCGCCAAATAGACAAGGCCTGAGATGATCTACAGTATTTGTTGCAAATTTATCTATTCAAATATGTCACCAATGTATTTAATGCCAAATTCATCAAAATATTTGAAGGTCCCCAGCCTGGCAAACTATTCGTTGACAGAGGAGAGGAGGGCAGGTACCTCTTTGCCATCAATGTTGATTTCTTCAATAACAAGGGATTAAATATTCACAGTGCTTCTATGTCTTGCAGAATTATATCATGCGCTTGCCTGAACCTCCCACTTGATGTACAATATAAAGCTGAAAACATGTACTTAGCTGGTATTATTCCTGGTCCCAGTGAACCCCCCCTCAAACAACTAAACCACTTCCTCTGCCCACTTATAGATGACATGGTCATACATTGGGAGAAAGGTGTTCACTTTTCACATACTGCAACACAACCAAATAGTTACACATCACGGAGTGCAATTTCTTTTGCTGTCTGTGACTTGGTTGCAGCTTGAAAAGCATCCCAACTTGGTGGAACCACCAGTCATCACTATTCCTCTGTTTGCCATTGCTTCTACAAATTGACCCTTGTGAGGACAGACTTTAATTCTCCATGTGACAAAGGTGTCATGTGATAGCACACCAAAGCTTGGAGAGATGCACTGACTGCTGCAAAATGTGATAAACTGGTTGCAGCTAATGGAATTTGTTGGTCTGAATTCTTGCGGCTGCCATATTGGAATCCCACATATCAGCTTGTTGTGGGTCAAATGCATTGTCTTTTGGAGGGACTAGCACAGCTTCACTCATGCAAAGCTCTATCCCTCATGAAGAACTCCGCTAATACCTCACCAAAGTATATTCCAGCATTTACATACAACTTTACACAGGCTCATGCAGCAAATTCAATTCCGGACAGCTCAGCTACAAGGAGGTCAAGCAAGTTGGGACTATTCATATACTACTTATCTAACCACTCAATAAATCCAATTACAATGTAGCTTTGCTCGCCTTGCAAAACTGTTTGATGTCAAAGAATACTAACACTCTTGTATTTGTTGCAAACAACCTTAAACCCACACCTGAAAACCAGAGTGGCAAGGTGAGGAAAATAAACTTGGTCAGAAGCTTAATTGCATGGGTAAGCTTGCCATTTGTTTGTCTTTGACAATCATAAATCTCAATCAATGATGGCACACAGCGTAAAGAACAACCAAAAAGCACTTCACAGCAGCAGCCCATCAAAATTTGCTCACCTGAAGTCATGCAACGGATTCACAATGTTGTTAAGAATACCTCTACTCCATCATGGATAAATTTAGTGCCTTACAATTTTGGGGATCCCGCAGCTGGCTCTCTCAAGGCAGACAAATGGTGCACTATGATCACCATTTATCTCCCTATTGCACTCATCAGTTTATGGGGGGATGGCTCTTCACACCCATCACTTGATCTTACTACTCAATTCCACTGTTTGTTAAACCATACAATGGATTTAGTCTGTGCCATATTGTTGGCCTGCAAGTGAACAATGACACAATCTCGAGCTAAAGCATACTGCAAACATATGACATCGTGGGTTTCACAATTGACCGTTCTTCACCCTCACATTAACAACCATACAAATGGCCATATGGCACTTTTTATTGCTTTTTGGCCCTATTCATTATGGTGGTGCTTCCCTTTCAAGCGGCTAATTGGCATTTTACAGCAATTTCCCAACAATCATAAGTTTGGTGTCCTTGAGTCAACACTTTTGCAGACTTTCATCAAAGCAGGCAAACTAAAATGCTGGGCAGCAAGAACAGATTGCCCTCCAGCAATCAAAGAAGCGAAAAAGCTGTTGGACAAACAGTATAGGTCTGGACGGGATGAGAGCTCAGACACTAACAGCTTGAAGGACAACAGTGTAGCCATCCCAGTACCTTCTGAATTGCGTAAAATAGTGCCAGGGTACTCTATAGTCATTTGAGCACAGGAAAAAATAGGTAACATCACATTTGCTAGGTCATCAACTCATCTAGGCAACAGCCTTGTTATGTTTTACCCTTCTGGTAATAGATGTTAACCGCCCATTCCAGGCTGTATACAATATATTTTCACTCACTCAGGTTCTCTGGATCAAGTACAGTTTGTCATCTAATGACACCTGCCTTCACCACCCAGTATCATAGACCCTTTTGATGCCTATCCCCATTTCCCCGCAAAATTATAATCATCTACCTTGACACCTCAGCTTGAGATTGTCGACTCAAATTGGGTCATGGGTCACTACACGCAATGGTCATTCACCCCAGATTGAGTTGTGGTTTTGCCACTTTCATGAGTAAGGTTTTAGCATACATCACATTGTTTATCTCGCTCTGATATCCCATAGGATTAATATTAGGAACTAATACCAATGGTTGGGGCAGATAGGGGGCAACCAGCATATAAGCCTTGGGCAGTCAGTGGGCAACTACCGGGTGACTAGTGGGCACTGGGTGGGCAATGGATTTGTTGGGGCTTTAAAATGTGGTATTTGAATTAGCATTTAGGGAGACTGTAAAATCTCTTCTTTTTGTGTTTCATATCAGTTTACACAAAATCTTTAATTCTGCTTATTGTGTGGCTCTATGCCTAAATTCAAATTTTTGGCACATGGAAATTAGAGGCAAAATCAGATATGATAATATCCATTTATTTTTTGTCCAAAATTACTATTATTGTTAACAACTTAAATGATTTGTCACAATAGATATTTTGATACCAATCTCCATTAACTTCTACACGTACTATTTAAGCCCAAGAAAATGCACATTAAAATATATTATTTTGAAAGCACATTTTGGTTGACATTTTGAATGGGGAAAATGTTGGTCACTGTGATGTGTCGCCAGTGAGTGGAGCTAGAGTCTTTGGAAGACTACCAATAGTTGCTATTTTGAGTCCTCTAGGTCCCTGTATACAAATAAAAGTGTGGATCAGACACTTTGTTGCAGCAGAACAAAACTGAAATGATGATGTACATTTTGGAGCAGTCATGCAACTATTTGTCACACTTTGTCACGCATGGCACCTTTGACAGAAGCAACTGGAGCTTGTAGACAATGTTTGGCTAAATTATTGAAAAAATGAGACAAGCTCAGATGCAGGTGTGGGTGCAAAGCGGATCTACTGGGCTTCAATGATCACATTGATGTGTGACTGCCTGTTTGGGTCATGAAGTCACAATTTCTCCCTGTTCTTCTATCTGCAGATGCCTCAAGGCTTTGATCAACTTGGTAAGCACCTGATATGGTAGGGGTTTACCCATTGACATTTTTTAGAAAGTTTGTGACTTTCCTAGCACATAATCTGCCCCGATTTAGCCCTCTTTGCCTCAAATTTCACATTTTTGGAGGTTAAGACTGTAGCGTTAGGTTTGTATTTATTGCTACAGGGTAAATATTCACAAAATTCTTTTACAAATAGGTTTGTTACATTTTATTCTACCTCTGACAAATTTTTAGGGGCTTGTACAATGATTCTTGAGCCTGTAGAGGCCCAAGAGCATATAGGGTCTGGACTGCAACATCTGTCCAATGATAGTAGTCTGCTCCGAAGTAAGGACCTTTGGCAGGAGCAACACTTCAATAGTAATAAAGAAGGCACCAGTGCATTATATGAGCAGTACATTTGACTTGAACTCGGCATTGTGTGGCTAGTCACACCATGAAAAAGCACATAAAGGTTTCAGCTAAAACAGCTACTGTAGAGGGAAAAAAGTTATGTATATAATCCTTACTATTGTATCACAGCTACAATGATTTATGTAGCAACTAAAACCTGTATATGACTCTGAATATCCCATTTTTTTTTGCCCATGTTTTTGTTCAGGTGTGTCTGTGATTTGTAGTGGTATTTCAATTGGAGTGGCTGACAGTTCCGCTATCTCAATGGCTCAGCATCTGTTTGGGATTGAAGAAAACTTTTAAACTAGTGTTGTTCTTCATCTGAGAGCTTTGCTATCAACTCTACCAATTCACACAAAGGCTAAGTGGTGAGTTATGCTGGCGGAAGCAATAGCTAGCCTTGACTGTGATGCTCAGCCATATGCAATTGGAGCAGTTGAGTTTAAAATCAAGGTGCAAAAGAGCTCAATATTCATGTTATTGGTCTCAAAGGGGGGTTCACACCAAATAGTCTTACTTTGGTGCAGACCTTATTTACAAGATATCAACTCACCATATATTGAATTAGGTAAGCAAGGGAGACTAAGGTAGGCTAGTCCTTCTTTGCAAGGTCTGATTTGGTGTTAATAAATGCCAGGCCCATCTGCAGAACAGAACAACTTGACAGTGGCTAAGAGCCAGTCAGAAACGACAATTTTCCTACAGGATCCAACCTAATTGTACCCATTTTTTTCCGACAGTTTAGGTAAGATTCTTAACTTTACTGTTTCTCAGGATTTTTCTTGAGCCATATTTTCACAACCATAGTAAACTGTATATAAGATAGGAATTCATATCAGCCTGTTTCTCTTTTTCATTTTGCACTGAAAAAATAGAAATGATTTAAACCCATTTCCACTGGATTACACAGATACAAAAGCAGAGTTAAACAGAACTGTACTGAAAGAAAACCAGCCCTACCAAAAGGAAAAAACATCTGAAAGAGAGAGAATACACGACAACAAAAGGATATATATCAGCACATTAGCGCAATGAGAAACAATAAAGCCATGACAAACTTACCATGACTGCCGCTTTGCAGGCATAATCTTGAGTGGTAAGATAGGCATCATTATCTTGGTACAAATGAGAACAGTTGGACAACATACCTTTACTCTCACGGACTCAAGATTTCAGCTGGACCTTGTTTGAAATTCTTGTTGACCAAATTGCCACAACCATATTTTTGCAAAGGATTACCAACAGATTTCTCAGCTGTACATTATATTAGCTAACATAAAATAAATATTATATGGAATGTAAATGACTCTTGTACTTGCCATTTCAGGAACCAGTGCCATGGTATCAGCACAATAGTGAGAATGAGGATATAATTGTGGACTTTGGACATGAAAGTAGGAGGGAGGGAGTAGAGGGAGGGAGGAATGTTTTTGCATGACCAAGTGCCCCAAGCACATGATCTTTTATTATTATTATTTAGAGTAGTTCGGAAGACTATTATAGACTATCAATCACAAGACTGTCAATTATAAATTGTGGGAACTTCTGGGAAATAGATGTGATTTGGTCTGTGTGGATATAAATTGTGCAAATGATAGGAATCTATGGGAATTTTGTTATTTTTGACTGGGACTAAGAGCTTGTATAGAAACTCAATTTTCAGTTATTCCATCTTTTCAGCCACATGATGCCAGGGAGCTGTCAGACTGAAAGCTGGTGTTCTTTTGGGAGCACAGTTCAATGCACAAGGGGAACTGTAAAGCTTTCTATTGAAGCTTGGTAGTGTCTCAATGTTGGGATTATTAATTCACTCTTGATTATCACATATTTACTCAATTCACATAGTACTGAATTTAACCTTGGTTATAATATCTTTTTGGGTTTGCTGATGGTGTGTCATCCAGTTGGCCCACCCCAATGCCACTCCAGTAAGCTTTGGAATTGGGCATTGGGCCACCATTTTTTTAGAAGGTACTTTTGCCGTTGCAATGGTTGGCTTATTGCCTTCTGTTGTTGCTAACGTAGAAGCTATTGCTTCTGCCATTTGCTCTTCCTTCCATTTCACCCAGTTGGGCACTTTCAAATTGGCTAGTATCCATTTGTGTGTCAGGGAAGGGTTTTCATTTACTGCATATTGCTGAGCCTCTGCCACCGGGGCTTTTGTTTGACATAGCTGCTTATGTGCACAAGTGAAGATGCTTGTTAAAGAGGACCCGGCTGGATCACAGGGTGCCTGTAACAACCAAGAGTTAGTTACTCTGGCGCACACAAGAACACACTATAAAGGTAGTGAATGGGGAGTGGTTATCCCTTAGGCTGCAGAGAGCTTGTTGGTTAACAACAGGAGGACTCGCTGAGGAGTCTCCTTGATCTATTGGGGTATTTATACTAATACAGAGTGTTTGTATCTATGTACTGTACAGTTGATAAAAGCAGTGGCTGATGATGTCAGAGGGTGCAGCCCGTGTGATCAGCTCCACTGCATGAGAGACTTTGTGTCTAAAAGAAGAATAAAGGCAGTGTCGCGCGAGAAAGTGGAGTTAGAACGAAAAAGGAAAGTGCCACATGGCACAGAGTGTGAACTATAGTAAAAGGTTAAAGCAGAGAATGAAAATTAAAGGAAAGGTCCGAAAATTTGTGTTATCGTAACACTACCCCCCTTTTAAGGCTCAACTTCCAGGCGAGACCAAATACCGGAGGTGGTAGTTAAATTTTTGGGCATAGTTTGAAAAAGGGAATTAAAAAGTTTTGAATCCATGCCTCTAAGCTTCCTAGGAGCTGAGGGATTCTTAGAATAAAATTTGTGAACAGCGTCGTGGGAGTTATCCAAATGGGCTTCTGGCTCCCACGTTCTGTCCTCATCTCCATAGCCCTTCCATAGGACTAGGAATTCTAATTTACCATGCTTCAAGCGTGCATCCACCACCCGTTTGACTTCAAACTCTTCTTCACCTTCCTGGGTGACTACAACTGGTCCGGGCCGGTCTACTGTTACGATAACACATTTTTGGACTTTCCCTTTACTTTTATTCTCTGCCTTAACCTTGTACTTTAGCCTTTACACAGGGTGCCACACAGCATTTCCCTTTCTCGTGCCACATTGCCTTTCTTCTTATTTTTAGACACAACTCTCTCACACAGTGGAGCTGGCCATGCGGGCTAGGCCCCATGACATCATCAGCCACTGTCTCTATCAACTATATAGTACACATGTACAAACAAACCTGTAGTAGTATATATACCCCAATAGATCCAGGAGACTCCTCAGCGAGTCCTCCTGTTGTTAACCAACAAACTCTCTGCAGCTCTAGGGGTAACCACTCCCACATCATCTTCCTTATAGTGTGTTGTGTGTGCGCCAGAGTAACTAACTCTTGGTTGTTACATCTACACGCTGTCCCGGTAGCAGCCCTATGTAGGGTTTGACTTCCTTAATCCGGTAAGGACCAATCCACTTTTTGGTCAGTTTTCTAGACTGCCAATCTTTTAACTTTAAGTGGTCGGTATCTAACCAGACCAGGTTGCCGACCTTGTAATCAGGGGCTTTAGAGCATCTACGCTCTGCCCTGTCTTTCATCTGCTCTGCAGTTTTAAATAGCGCTTTGCCCATTTCGTCCAAGACAGACTTCATGTCTTTGGCCATGTTCCCAGTAGCCTTGTTCTTGCTTTTTCCAGGTTCTACACCCATTCTGGGGAGGTACAATCTTGTTACCTCGAATGGTGCCTTTCCTGTAGCCAACAACTGTTTAATTTTGTATAAAAACTGGGCTATCTTTAGCCACTTGGCCCAATCTGTCTGTCTGTCATTAATAAATATACGGAGGTATTGCTTCAACTCCTGGTTGAGTCTCTCTGTTTGTCCATCGGTCTGCGGATGGAACACCATTGATAACTTAGGTTTGATGCCCTGCATCCGGCATAACTCTTTTGTAAATTCACTAGCAAATTGTGGCCCTCTATTGGAGATAACCATTTCTGGTAACCCATGGATAGACCATACAAAATCTTTAAATATATCTGCCGTACCAGCGGCGGTAATGGTTTTGTTGGTGGGAATGAATACCACTTCTTTGGAGAAGCAATCTACTACCACCATTACTGAATCATACCCATTTGACTCGGGCAGATCCATCGTAAAGCCAACCGATATATCCTGCCAGGGACCAGCTGGTATCGAATTCGGCATAAGTTTACCGGCCGGCGGTTGATGAGAATTCTTAGCCATAGCACATCTCAGACAGGATTTTACGTATTCCTGTACGTCTTTGACCATGCCAGGCCACATATAGTTTCTGGAGATCAACTCCATTGTTTGTTGCCACCCTGGGTGCCCAGCCACTGGTGTGTCATGATGTCTATCTATTGCCTTGATCCTTGCGGACTCAGGCACATAGATTTTGTTTTTAAAATGGAAGAGCCCGTCTTCCCATAAATAGTTTTCATCGCCATCAAGGCGCGCCTTCTCTTCTGAGGAGATGTCTTTCTTGAAGACTTCCAGAAGATTGGAATCCTGCCCAATTTTAACATTGGCAACCCTTGATTGGTCTATCAGAGTAACACCTTTGTTGTCATCTTTGATGCCGTTGGCATGATCCTCTCTTCTGGACAAAATGTCCGCTTTCCCCATAGAGCTTCCAGGCTTATGAATTAATTTATAATTAAACCTTGACAAGTACACTGCGTAGCGAGCCTGTCTTCTGTTCAAGTCTCGGGCTGTCATAAAATATTCCAGATTTTTATGATCGGTCCAAATTTCAAATTGGTGCCTAGCACCTTCTAAGTAGTGCCGCCAGTGCTCTAAGGCTCTCATGATCGCTAGCATCTCTTTGTCGTAAATTTGATAGTTGTGCTCTGTAGGCGACAAACTATTTGATAAATAGGCACAAGGTCTCCAAAGATCGTCAGGGCATTTAATTGACAAAACAGCCCCAGTAGCAAAATCAGAAGAGTTGGTTTCTAGCCGGAACTCTTTGTCTAATTCTGGAAATGCTAATATGGGCGCTGTTGTAAATGCTTGTTTAAGCTTATCAAAAGCTTCTTGTTCTTGGGCACCCAGTGCCAAATGATATCCTTTTTTGTGAGATTGTTCAACGGTCTCATTATTTTTGCAAAGTTTTCAACAAACCTTTGGTAGAAATTTCCTAAGCCAAGGAAGGCCCTAGCTCCTTTGATGCAAGTAGGTTCTGGCCAGTCCAATATAGCTTGAACTTTCTCAGGATCCATCCCGATTCTGTGCTGGCCTATGATCATACCAAGGAAGTCTACTTCCTTCACTTTGAAATTACATTTTTCAGGTTTGACAAATAGGTCCCGTTCCTGTAAGTGTTGAAGGACTTCTTGCACAATCCTGTCATGGTCAGCCTCTTCGTCCAACTTCGTAAATATCAACAAATTGTCAATGTAAATGACAACACAATCTTCCATATCTGCGAAGATATCATTCATTATGCTCTGGAAGGTTGCCGGTGAGTTGGTCAACCCAAAGAACATAACAAGGGGTTCAAAGGAGCCTTAGCGGCACATGAACGCGGCCTTTAAAGCATCTTCTTCTTTGATCCATACATTATTGTACCCCCATCTGAGATCCATCTTTGTTAAGATTTTGGCGCCAGCCAATTTGTCTACTAGCTGACTGATCAAAGGCAGCAGATACACATTTTTAACTGTGTGCTCATTCATGTAATGATAATCCATAATCATGCGCTTCTTACCATCCTTTTTAGGGATGAAGAACACCGGGGTCGTCATAGGGCTTTTGGAAGGTCTGATGTAACCCTTCCTAAGCTGTTCATCTATGAAACTTGAGAACTCATTTTTTTCTGGAGCAGAGAGGGGAATCATGTGCCCTTTTCTCGGTTTGAAGGTGTCCTTCAAATCTATCGCATGGTCCCAAGGTTTAGTCTCTGGGAAGCGCTCTGACTTATGTTTAGAAAAGACTTTCCAGAAGTCATGGTACTTGGGAGGTACCAGCCTCTTAATCTCTTCCTCGCGTTTTACCTCGTCATTGTCATTGTCAATCTTTTCTAGAGATCTGAGTTCATAAACGTGAGCAGCATTAATTTTTTCAAGGCACTCATTGTGACGGACGCGATTCAGTTTACCCAAGTTCACACACTCCTGAGGGCAATGTGACAATGTGATAACCCCTGTCTGCCAGTCAATCTCAGGATTGTGTTTCAGATAAATTTAGAAATCTATTTACAAGTTGGGGAGCCATCCCTTTCTTTCCATTATTGCTTGTGCAACACCCTGGAGCAGGGGCCACTTTGTTGTGGTTTACTTCATTGTTTCGTGGAGCAAAGGCACCCAAGTGACCTAAGCTCCAAACTCTTTTCCCTGGGTCTTCATTTCAGCAACCTGCTGATCGTAAAAAAAGGCCCGGATCTCGTCGTATGAACGACTGGCCAGAGTCTGGAGCCAATCATCTGGTTTCTCTGCTTCTAATTGGCGAGCCCCGGCGCCCTTGATTATTTTTTTGTTGGGCGGCCTGCGCCCCATTTTTGCAATCTCAGGACATGTGTCCCTCTTGGCCACAGTTGTAACAGTTGCCCTTGAATCTGCGCATCTGTCCGCCTTGGACCGCGCCGATATCCATAGGAGCACCCTGTCCTGGCTGCAGCCCGAATGGCTTGAACCTGTGAGAGTGATTATGGTGGTTTGATGACCCAGGGCACCTCTGGGAAACATTGTTTTTGGTGGTGGACCCGCCACCAAATTGCATATTGTAGAGCTCTATGGCCCTACCAATTTTTTGAACCTCCTCAGCAGCTGCTGCAAGGTTCTTGCTCCGCATATCTTGTATGTAGAGCTGTCAGGCAATGGCCGGTGACACATTGTGCTCCAGCAACTCCACTGCATGTTCATTCCCTAGACCCCCTTGGATGGAGAGGGCCAGGAACCGGGTAACAAAGTCATCCGTCCTCATGTTTCCTTGTTTGAAGGTACGGATTTGCTGACACACCCAGTCACGCTCAGCTTGTGGTTTGAAGTATTTTTCAATCTCGACTTTGAGATCATCCCAGGTAGGCCACACTCCCGCTGTGTAGCACTCCTGCATTCTTACTTGGGTGTATTGACCCGCCACTGGTCCTTTCAGCCTTGACAGCACAGCGGTCGCTACATCAAAATCATCAGCGAACACGTCCCAGTTCACTTTGATCCAAATCTGGAGCTTGATCCACCATTCGGCAAATCGCGCTCTATCTCCTTTGAAAGCACCGGGGTCAGCGATGATCTCGACTTTCTTGTTGAACTTTTGCTCAACCGTAGATTCGGCTGCTGGGGCGGCTTGAATCTCGGCAAGCTGATTTGTTAATGCCTGAATCTGTGCACACATGTTGTGCAGCAGACTGTTCATATCCGGTTGCAATGACATGTCGACTTGTTCTCTTTGGTAATGTAAAAAAAAGGTAACTGGGGGTCCCCGCTTGCTATCTGCGGATCAACCTCTTCCCAGCTGAGTATCGGATCTCAATCTCCGACTACTCACACTATAGTATTTGAAAAAGTATATAAAAAGTATTCATAACAAACCCTGGTCCGAACAGTTGTCAGGGGGTGGTCCGCTTGTTAAACTGTCAACCTTTCTCCAAACTGGCGGAGGCAAGTGCCCAGCCTGGTCAGAGGTATTTGAAGAAGAAGTTTTGTATTTCTAAGTTTAATCAGTGCACACTATTGTTGATCTATAGTACTCCCCTTTACGCTGGGGTCCGTGTATCAAAGGTATTGTTTCTTCTCCCAAAGCACTACAAGGCCGTCGCGAAGAGTGCACCTATCTGCTATACGGGATATTCCCAAACAATAATCAAATCTCCTTCACCCTGGAGTCCGGGTGCCCAGTGGGACTTTTTGCACAACGTGCGAGAGAGTAGAAGAGCGAGTCCTAATGTAACAACCAAGAGTCAGTTACTCTGGCGCACACAAGAACACACTATAAAGGTAGTGAATGGGGAGTGGTTACCCCTTAGGCTGCAGAGAGCTTGTTGGTTAACAACAGGAGGACTCGCTGAGGAGTCTCCTTGATCTATTGGAATATTTATACTAATACAGAGTGTTTGTATCTATATACTGTACAGTTGATGAAAGCAGTGGCTGATGATGTCAGAGGGTGCAGCCCATGTGACCAGCTCCACTGTGTGAGAGATGGAGTTTGAACAAAAATAGAAAGTGCCACATGGCACAGTGTGTGAAAACTACAAAAGAAAGTTGAAGAGGAGAATGAAAATTAAAGGTCCAAAAATTGTGTATCATAACATTATCACAATCCCTTCCATCATAATGGACATTAACAAAAGAATAGTTCTATGGTACCTCCCGGGCATCCTCACTAATGAGAGGGAGAGACAGGTGAAAATATATTTAGCAAAGCATGTGTGATAGTCTCTCAAGAAAAAGATGGAAAGCAAACACCCCAAGAAGCCCTCAAAGAGCTAGCATAAATCTTCAGAATATTACAAGAATCCTGGGGGCTGTCAGCTATTCCCTTGCAGGTTGATAGACTTATCCCCAGTGTGTTTCCAACTTGATCATGAAGTTTGTGTTGTTGAGTTATAATCTATACATTATGAGAGCAAGTGTTGATGCCTTTTCTCTAACTCCGGTTTTTCTGCGGTTGTGCCCTTTTTGTTGATTTGCTTTGCATACATTTGCAGCTGTATCCTATTAGATAGAGTTAATCAGTATTCAAAAATTATGTATTGCCAGGATCCTGGGGGCCTGGGGACTTACTGAGTCTCTTCCAACTTCAGACCCGCCAATAACCAAGCAGCCGTTCCTTGGACCACTCCATTTCTTGTTTTTGTTGCAATAAATGCAGCTGGATTTCTGCTTTTCTGGGTAATTTTTCTATAGACTTCATATGCAGCCGGTTTTGCTGTGCCTTTTTTTCCTGGGCAATCCAGGCCTCTGTGTCCTCAGAGTCTGTAGTGGAATTGATTTTTTGAATGCAAGCTTGCTTGATAGAAAGCCTTGCTGAACCTTTTTGAACTTCTTGTAAAGCACCGGGACTAGGCATGCACTTAGTCATGAATATGGGTGAGTTATTGAAGCCCAGGACCTACTCATCTGTATAAGCTTCTTCCAATTGGAATCACTCATGTGACCATCCAATATTTCTTGCCTATGTGACTTGCTCATAGCCTGGGTGCTTTAAGAGACTTCATTGATGGGAGCCTAAAGTGTTTTTAATATCTCACCATCAACCTGCCTGGCCCTGGGGATGAAGTTAGGGGCATAGATTGGGAAGCAGATGTCTTGATGTCCATGCACATAAAATAATTCAATACCCTCGTACACAGATACACCACTGGGGACCTAAAGATAGGGACTTTCAAGGACCCTCTTTGAGAAGTGTTTCTGCATTGGCACATTATATTGTAGAGGACTATGACTGAGTTGATCCCAGCCAATGAAGACAAGGCCTGACATTGGGAATAGTCCATGTTCATTTGGCTATGAAGAGTGAGCAATTGCCACAATCTCAGATTTGTGTACCACTTTATGCACTCTGCATGAAAGTTTCCATCCATGACAAGTAATACTGCCTGAGGGGGTCCTTCCTGGAATCACACCTAGCACAATATCAATGATGATGTCTGTGTGCATACCATGATTATTTCATTGTTGTAAGGTTGTCAATGCAATGTAATAGCATATAAACTGTGTAAAGAATGTTATAATTTTTTTGTTGGCAACCTTATACACTCTACAACATATCAAAAGTTTCAATTTTTGTTACACTTTTGGCAAACAAACTTCATAGCAAAACTGTAAGCAAAATCACAAATGTGTGATTCTGTTCTTGAGCCATTGGTTATACCTCCAAGGAAGGCAAGTCCAATGAGTAAACATACCCGCTATTATGTGTCTGACATTGGTTTAGTCAAAAAATAATTACACGAGATAATGGCTGGATCACTATTCAGAGTATCTGCAAGTCCTTATGCAGGAAGAGGGGCAGTCCCCGGGACAGACTTGTGGCCTTTGTTTAGTGAGAGAAGGAACTTGGTGATGCACATAATGTTTGGGGAAACCAGAGTATTGCATGTCATGCTGCAGGGATGCTCACCAGAGGTTACCATTTTATAGAGTTGAGCAATGGATGGGCATACATTTTGAACCTTCTTGGCTTTATAGAGCCAGCTTGGTAATTCATCTGGGCCACACTGGCAAACCATGCCTGGGACATGATGAAAACCACAGTCTAGCAGAGGACAATTCACCAGAGGGTGATTCCCGGGTGGATGGTACCCGGGACAATTTTCCAGGTGCATCAGACAATGAGGAAGGAGAATTATGAGAAGATGAAGAAGTGATTACAAGGACTGGCTCCACCAACAGATGCTGCTTATAACGACCAAGAGTTTCTTACTCTGGTGCACAACTTGGACAAGCAAAAAGAAGAGAGAGAGAGGGATCACCCCTCAGGTTTCAAAGGGTTTGTTGTGCTAGACAACAGGAGGACTCACTGAGTCCTTCCCCAAGATCTATTGGGGTTTATATATTAATACAGGTTTGTTTGTACATATGTACTATACAGTTGCTAGAGGCAGTGGCTGCTGATGTCATGGGGCCTAGCCCGTGTGGCCAGCTCTACTGTGTGAGATACTTGTAGTTAAAATAAGAATAAAGGCAGCACCGTGCGAGAAAGGTGGAGTTTGAACTAAAAGGGAAGTGCCACATGGCACAGTATGAAATCTACAGTACAAGGTTAAAGTGGAGAATGAAAGTTAAAGGAAAGGTCCAAAAATGAAAAGTGAGGTAAATGGTCACATGACTGGTCATGTGACTTGGAAAAAAGTAAAAGTAAAGTACAAAAAGTAAAGTGTGAGTAGGTACTGGTACGTCAATTGTAACACTGCTCGCTCAGACGTTCAGCTCTTATCCAACGGGTTGTACCTAGCAAGTCAGAAGAAGCCTCGAACAGCATTCACCTTTTCTTGATGACTTTTTAATCAATAACAAGGAATGTAAAACTTCTGCAATGACTTTCTATTCCAAGATACGGCGGGTGACAAACAGTGTATTCCTGCACAAGGTCGCAGTACGTCCCTCAGTTCTAGACTTCATGGGAACCTCAATGATATTTTCCCCCTCTAGAATAGATATCAGGAGTTTATGAGGGTGTCCCGGCAGTGGAGACATTTGAAATATATGCATTGGCATGCATTTGCAAACCAACCTGGGGTCTCAGCCCGGTATTGATGTCTCACTTGATTGGAAGCAGCACTTTTTTAATTCCCTGTGATCCTTTTTATACTAAGGACATATTTGGAAGCCACATATGCCCAGGTTGTAATTACCACAAGCTACAACAGTGTTTTGATCATCCTATGCATGCATGCATGCATAAGCATTGATATTGTATCATGTGTAACACTGGGAGGCCTGGCTTTGATTCCCCGGGATCCTTTTTATGCTAAGGACACATGTGGAAGCCACATATGCCCAGGGCATAATCACCACAAGCTACAACAGTGCTTTGATCATCCTATGCATGCATGCATACATTACAGTTGATACTGCGTTATATGTGATGTCAGAATGTGTTGTTGTGATACCCTGGGGTCCTATCTGCACTCGTAATGTGGTTGAAATATAGGCCACAAGGATGATTTGATCCAGCTGGGTTGTCCTGAACAGGAGATCATCATTGACCCTGGGCCATCCAGTCAGGTTGTCCTAGGCGGGGCCCGGAGATTTTGGATACACCCAGCCGGGTTGTCTCAGGCAGGTGTGCCAGACCCAGCCAGGCCGTTCTAGACAGGTGTGCTCTGATCCAGCCGAGTTGTCCTAGATTGGGCCCAGGAATTTTATATCCAGCCAGCCGGGTCATCCTAGATGAGGAATTATTCAGCCATCCATCCGGGGTGTCCTAGACAGGCATAGACAAACCCAGCCTGACTATCCTAGACGGGTGTGCTTCAACCCAGCTGGTTTGTCTTACACGGGCCCTATATTATTACATTGAAGATGGCCTGGCTGGCCCACTCCGCCGGACTCTGCTGGCCCTGTCTATATAGTAATAAAAACTGTAATAATATTTTATCTTAGGTGGAAAATTATAACTATAGTATGTGTGTATGACACCTAGGCCTCACTAGGCTAATTGACTCAATGGATCTGACATTTTCTTATATAGAAGCAATATATCAGGGAAAGTATTAGCTGGGAGGTACCTGACATGTTCCAGGCCTTAGCCAAAGACCCAGTATAGAGTTCAGGCAATGATATCATTGCTCAGATCTGACAGAAGAGCCAAATATTTGCTTGGAATGGATGAATGTGGTATTCAATTTCCTGATAATTTGCACTCAAACGGAAAAGAGAAAGATAGCGCTCATCTTCAAACATGCACCTCACTTTTTAACTTATACCACATTTAATCATGCCTGAAGTATAGTTTGATGATGCCTAAATTGAAATACTCAATACACATTTGAAAGAGTTCAGGGGTGCAAATTCTCTACAATGGGGATATGTACTTGATGATACCTGGAATGAAGTCAGGGAAAATTTGGGGGGACATGTACTAACCAACATCAAGGATTTAACAGATATGAAAGAGGTATGATTCTTAATTGTCAAAGTATATCATCATGTTTACAATTAATATTGCAGTGTGTCAGGCATTGGTTGTACAACCACAGTGGTAATAAAGAGCCTAGGAACAAGGTTGCTGGGCATGTAAAGTATTTAGGTCAGAACCAAGTGCTCAATGGAGTGAAAAAAAAGGAGGTGGAGAAGAGGATGTGGGACCTTTACGGAGTGAAGCCAGGGCAGTCAGGCTATATTGGTAAACTGCAGAGTGTCCTGAAGGTGATGTTGACTGAGCTCAGCAAGGAGGAGCTAGCTGAATTAAAAGAGAAGCATAATGAGTGGTATATTGATGGGCCATCAGAGGGAGCAAGACAAAAGTGACTATGATGTCCTTTACTCAACCAGGACAAACATTGATTCATACCCGGGGCTGCTAAAATGAAGGGTAGGAAAGTAGTGAAGGACTTTCTGATGCAAGTGAGCTAGGATCTGGGAACATTGAGTTTTGCGCCCACCGCCCATAGAGACACAAATAGAACCAGTTGCATGTAGAGGCAATGGAGTGAGCAGTTTGACCTGCATCAAGGAGGATAAGAATCTGGTTCTTTTGAGTGTTACAACCAAGAGTTTGTATACTCTGGCGCACAACTCAGATGAAACTGTAAAGGTAGTGAGGGGAGTGGTTACTCTTAGGATAGGACCAAGTTAGTTGTGGGTAAACAACAGGAGGACTCGCTGAGGAGTCTCCTGGATGTATTGAGGTATATATACTACTACAGGTTGTTTGTACATGTTGTACTATACAGTTGATAAAGCAGTGGCTGATGATGTCAGAGGGCGCAGCCCATGTGACCAGCTCTACTGCGTGAGAGACTTGTGGCTAAAATTGTGTATCGTAATATTGCGCAGGAGAGAAGGATTTCATAATGATGGTGATTGAGAATAAACAAACATGTGAACTTTTTAAACTCAGATGCAATGTTTATATGTATATCCTTGTTTGTAGGATCAAACAAAGCCAAATATTCTATGATATCATTGTGATCTCTGCTTCCAACTCAAAAGTGAAAAAACTGTTGCAATGATATTGCTGTTTTGAAATAGACATATCTTCACAGCCATTGGGCCAAATCACATGAACCAGGAACCATCATGTATGACAAAGGAGGAGATCCAGGGTCTGTTGACCATTGCTACAACCGGAAAAACAATATAAATGCCAAAATTACCTTAAGGTTGAAATCTAGTCTGTACCCGGTAGCCAATAAAGGAAAGGGTAAAGAGAAGGTAGCAATAAAGAGAGTCCTTCCCAGAGCAACAATGGTTGCACCAAGAAGCAAATCCACCAACAAGGAACAAGAGGAGATTAAGGGGCTTCATAAAATTCTAAGTGATGATGAACGTGGTGCTGACATTTGAAACCAGCCCGGGCCCTCCAAACCAATGCCAATCTCGTCCTGGCTCCTTCTATCTCAGGGCAGTAATCTGTAGGTGTACAAAAAGTGGACAAGGACAGTCCCCAGCATGCTTCTATTACACACAAGTCTCAGAAGAAGTTACTTGCAGGATTATGTACTGGGGAGGAATACTTGAAGTTGGTGGACGTAGTGTACCAACTGCCAAAAGACAAGCCCAGACCTAGCTCCCAGAAAATGGCCAGCCAGAGGATTAATGGGGCTATGCCCACAGCATGATTCCATTGGAGATTCACCAAAGCAATGGAACCCAAAACGTGTTGAGGTGGCTCCACATGCAGCCTTGTCTACATTGCCTAGGGTCTTGGGACGGCCACACAGGTATCAAGGGCCATACTGCTATGGCCCTGATATGTTAGAAATGTTACTCCAGGACCTTCATACAATCAATTTTGCTGATGAGGACAACAACCTGATGTGGTCATATATTGAGTTTGCCATGGTGGGTGAAACTATCCTTCCATTCTGCAGGGACATGACTACTGCAATACAAAACAGCTTGGAATCTCCCTTCCCTGACAAGGCAAGGCCACTACCCAGGATGGTGACAAGGGTGATGCAGAGTCCCACCAAATGTGGGCATGAGGAGGTAGATGGGGAACCTGGGAACATTGCACACAGGACAAGGTCAGGTAATAGTCTAGTAAAGCAGCTTCAACAAGCCAAGGAAACCAAGGTAGATCAGATGCTAAAGGTAAAGAAACCCAGAAGGCATTGAATGGTAGGTATACCTCTTGTACAGTAATGTAATAATATATATAATAGCCCTGGCTTTAAAATGTGTACCTGGGGATGTGAGTGTTATAGTCATCCTGGGTTACATGATCTTAGAGCCCAGGCTATAGACTGTTCTCGGGCATCACTTACAAATATCTTATCAATGTATTGAAGTGAGACAGGTCCTGGGCCATGTTGATGGGTCCCGGGGTAGAGTTCTCAGACTTGTTCTTATCATACATTATCACACTGATATTGTAATATAGATAGCTCAGATTCATAATAATAAAGTAAGTAAATGTACAGTGAGTGGTGAGTGAGGAGAGACTAAGTATATGCAAATGAAATCTAGTTGAAAGAAAAAAAAAAATTCCTTCAACAATGATCTCTTCTAATTGTAGTCCCTCTCCTTTGCTTTCAATCTTGCTACCTCATCCTCCAGCTTGCTAATACTCTCATAGGGATCCCTAATGATCCCCTGCCTTTGCTTTATCCTTGCTACCCTTTCTTCCAAGGAAGGAGGGGGACTCCACTGCTGTGTTGGGGACATAAAGCTGAAGTTTATGAGGTCCTGGCCATCACATCGAGGAGTGACAGTGATAGGGACCTCACCTCCCAGGGGTATATGGGGCCTTGGCGGCTGTTGGACCTCAAAAGGCCAGTAAGGAGGAGGCACGGGGGAAGGACAAGGGGTGCTGGGAACGTCCAAAGGTGTTTTTTCCTGCATAGATGGACTGGGAGAGCCAGGAGGAGAAATGGGGGTGGGACAGAAAGACTGGAATGGGAAAGGAAGTCAAAGAGAGGGTTGGGGCAGGGAAGTGTGATGTCCAGGAGAAAGTCAACTGTCTCCCGGGTGCAAATGGGAAGGGGACTGGGGGATGGCAATGGTAGCCTTGCCACGGCATCCAAAACCTCCCTGGCAGGAGAGGGGATAGCCTCCCTCATCCTGGCAATCCACTCACTCAGGGCCTGAATGGATTGCATTGGCATCCATCTCCCTGGATTCTCTATGGGACATCTGGAGAGGCCTCCTTGACTCCTGGGACATGAATTGCATCTGTGGAGGGGGAAGAGGGCGAGTAGCTGGTGGGGGAGTGCGGTGAGCAGGAGCCGGGATCACTGCTTGTGCAGCTGGGGGGACCCTGATTGTGAATTGGGTCCAAGTCATTCTATGGGGCTGGTAAACCAGCTTATGTGCTCCCCGGGGCGGCCTAGTCTTAACGGGATGGTCAGGAGCAGTAACCAGAGCCCCTGGTGCTTTTGGATTCCGGGACTTACTCCCCAAGCTTGCGTCGTTGTCCCACACACACTTGTACATCTCCTGGCTGCACCCGTCATAGGAGGTCCTCCATTTCTTCATCTGCTTGCTCCTGCTGATGGTGCAGATGGACTTGTCCAGCCTGCACTGCTTGTACCCCTCCTCCATACTCTTCCTCTGCAGATCCTCTACACCCCTGGTAATCTCTATCACCACCCTTGCCTTTCCCTTTCCCTTGCCTGTTGGAGGTGCTATGGGGTCCGGGCACTGACCATTAGATGTCCTGGAGTGTGGGTGGGTGTACTGGGGGTGAGATGGCCTTGAGGGCCCAGGAACAGGGGGTGGAGATGGGGAACACCAGGATGGAGCTGTCCTCTTTGCCTTCTTTGACAACACCACTGTCATGCGTGGTGGTGGGTGCTGGAGGGCTTTTGGACTGTACTGTTACAATGGGCAGGGTGGTGAAAGGATGAGACGGAACCACTGTGAAAAGAAACAATCAGTAAGTGATTGAAAAAGAATAAAAAAATAAATAATTTACTATGTAACCACCACCTATTATCCAGAGCCTGTTACAATTGACATACCAGCACCTACTTATGCTTCACTTTTTGTACTTTTACTTTTCATTTTCCAAGTCACATGACCGATCATGCGACCATTTACTTTACTTTACATTTTCGGATTTTTCATAGTCACATGACCAATCATGTGACACATCACCTGACCAGTGTCTAGGCTCATCATGTGGCTAGTCACATGCTAGACATCGGACTTGAAAACTTTATTTACAACTGTACAGTACCTCACATATTTGAGTATATATACTGGAGCAATATATGGGGAGAGACTCAGCGAGTCCTCTTTCAGTGTATACCAACAGTAGTATGACAAGTTCCCTCCTTTGATAGGTTGTACACTTCCTTTTCCTCCACTGAGTTGTTGTTGTGGTTGTACTCCAGTGCCCCAAGACTGTGTCTTCTTGGTGTTATCACAGAGCCTCCTTCCTCTTCGGAGTCTGTCTCCTCCTGGGATTAAACCAGATAAATCCCTCCACCATCTCATCTTCCCAGCTGATCATTGACAGATCAACTGTCCCTCCCTCATTTTCTCCTCTCAGAAAGAGCCGGGGGATGTGGAAGTTGTGCCCGGCATTATTTCACTCCCTTATTGTGTATGTCCCACTCACTACTTCTTCCCTCAGCATGTCCACATACTGGTCCCTATATTAGACAAAAACCAGGGGCCAATACATAACGGCCTTCCTGACATACTCATTGGCTTTGTAGATCTTTTATTTGGTAGAAAAAGACATCAGGAGTGGTGTTTTTGGTTGGGGATGTGATAAAAGTGTGGTGTAGGGTAGTATTGTCTGAGTGACTGAGATGCTAAAGGGTTCAGACACACTATACATGGATCTGGTGCCACAAATTGTGCCCATGGGAATTTTGAGAAAAATGCACATGATTGCACGTGATGAAAGTTGGACTTGTATTTTTCACATTCAAACGCCAAAAATGTTGCAGCCAGGGATAGGGACCAAGACTTTAGCCACTAGGTGAGCACACTCCACCTACAATGAACCATATTTTTTATATTTATATTATTGTACACTGAATGCCAACTCCCCAGCACAAATCCAGTGCCTGGGAACCATCCCCAGGTATGTCCTATCATCTCAAATATTACTCCACCACCATCTTAAAATACTTTTTCTTCAGATTTACCCATGTTACCCACCATTTTACCCACTATATATGACCCAACAACCATAAATCATAAGTTCATACATTTACTTGTACTTAAAAGGTCTGATATACATTTCATCAGCAATTTCAAGCGAGTCAACTGGCTTATCAGACAATTTGCCATCCCTGGGGGGGTCCAACTCATCTAAATGCTCCCCAGATTCCTTCAAATGCTCCCTGGGGCTTTCCTCTGTGCCCTTCCCGGGGCCTTGCTCTGCTCCCTTCCCAGGGCCCTCCTCAGATCTCTGTTACAATAACACATTTTTGGACCTTTAACTTCCATTCTCCTCTTTAACCTTTTACTGTAGTTTTCACACTCTGTGCCACGCGGCACTTTCCCTTCTGTTCAAACTCCACCTTCTCGCGCCGCGTTGCCGTTCTTTCTATCTTAGATACAAGTCTCTCACGCAGTGGAGCTGGTCACATGGGCTGCGCCCTCTGACATCATCAGCCATTGCTTTATCAACTGTATAGTACAACATGTACAAACAACCTGTAGTAGTATATATACCGCAATAAAATCCAGGAGACATTTATTTTATGGAAGAGTCTCCTATGTTAACACCCGCAAAATGCTGTGATTCCACATCCTGATGGCCAGGTTAGAGTTGAGGAGTAAGTACAGTATGAACAAAGCACCTTAAAAGGGAATGGTTCAAGTGAGCCCAATGCAGACAAGCACAGTGACTTGGAAACCAGTAAATCAGGTAGTGACCCAGAAGCCAGTGACCCAGAAGCAGGGGGAGGAAGGGATCCAGATACAGACAAAAGGGAAGACAGTAATAGTGATTCAGATACAGATAAAGATAGCAATTCACAGAGAAGTGATGTCAAAAAAGCTAAACAGGAGAGTGATCCAGGTGCTATTTATCCAGTCGCTCTTAGCATGGTAAAATGCAAGACCCTCCCCCAGTGCAACAATCTGAAGCTTGACCTAGAGTGGTAAGGATATCATTTGTCTTATCCTTATTGCATCTTCACATCTCATTGTTATCACGTAGTTTTTACCTGCATAAAAAGGTGACATCATGGTGATTGGCCACAAGCTGGATAGCGTCATTTCTCCCATCACTGCATTCACAGACTAACTGGCAGTGCCCTTCTCTTCAAACTGTTGATGTGACCATACTAGTGATGCGCAAAGTTGGCTTAGTCCTACTGGTCATGGAAATCTGTCAGAACATGAAGATGCCAACAATGAAGGGGAATCTCTATCCCGGCTATTCAAGAGAACCAAACAAGTGCAATATAGGTTATATCTTCAAACACAGCTAGCTGTATGTATTTCCTTTTGGCACCCTCTTAACTGACGCATAATTAAAATACAGTGCAACGTTCAAAGGCATGCACGTAAGCTAATGAAAAGAAAGACTACAAAGTCTCCCTTCACAGGCATTGCCCAATTTCCGCATTAATCTCAAGGCCCATGCAAAATCAGCGTGGAATATCAGCCACACAACAGTTTTTGCAGAAGACTCTGTCAAGCATGATTATATTTGCAACAATGTTGAGGCAGTCAAGAAGTTCTTTGCAAGTCATATGAAGTCATGAGCCCTTGCCTACAAGAAGCGAAGACTCAGAGAGAGTACAGCAATAGCAGCTCAAAAAGCAAAAAATAGGCGAGAAAGACAATGCACGGTGAGTGTGAGGATTTCCTCTGATCTCTCTTGTATATTGCTTGTTGATAAATTTTTACTGTTATCTTAGCTTTTCCAAAGATGCCTGCATACTACAAAGAAACATCAAGACCTACATCCACATTTAAACATGCTCATGTGGTTTGGAGCAGACAGTATGAGTAACAATATTAGTGCTCACAAAAATGGAGTCCCACGATACAAAATACTCAACCATGGAGACATAAGCGTGTAACAACCTGGCTTAGGATGATCACAGCATATATTGGCATGCTTGCTATGAACCTGTAGGGCAGGGATCTAGGGGTAAGTTTAAATCTAGAGTTGTGGGTGATCTGGGCCACATTGTAGTACATCTTCCAATGAACACATATAATTTTAAATGGCTTGCAACTCTGAATAATTTCAACCAGAGAAACTTGGCAGCTGTTAAAAAGAAGTTGTTACAATCAAGGCTTCAACATGATCTTAATCCGACTCTTGTGAGTATTGCCACCATCAGTTCCTATCTCCTATTGTTCCCAGGGATTATAGATAGAAGATCCTTCCCTACAACTGAGGATTGCTGTCAGGGTCAAAGATGTAGTTGTTTAGATGACAGGGCTGAGCACTCCCTTCATGATGGTAGTAAGGAAATATAGAGTAGATTCAACTTGTCCTATCCTACTATTATACAGGGTTTTTTTATATAATGAGTAGGTAGTGAATTTTAGCTCCTCTCCAAGCTGGGTTTATATGTAAGAGCCAATAGCATAAAGACCTCCAGGGTCAAGGGCAAGAGGTTGTAATCTAAAAGGAGTATCCTAGGGGAAATAGTAATAATAGGCCAGGAGCATTTGACCATATTATAACTAAAAAGTGTTGTTTCTTGGATATTTTCATAGAGGCAACTGCAGGATAGTGGGAAAGGACACTTATATAATAGAGTACTTATATCCAGCCACATTGCGTGCTGCCACCTCAGTTCCAAAAACTTGGACTGAGGTGAGTAGCCAGTGCAACATTATCATACATTAGATTACTGACTGCCTAGTAGTGTCTGTTCTCTTTTATTAGAACAAAAGGTTATGAGCCCTGCTTGTCTCTGAATATAAACCTCAAAGCAAACCTTTATTTCCATTCCATCATATCAACTACTGCACCATCAATCTCACAAGCCGGAGCTACCGTAACAACAACATTATCAGTTAGTGCATCCAGCAAAACAACCCATGGATCAAGCTGCCTGTATGACATTCCGTCACTTGAAAATGACAGCTCAAACTTCCAGGTTTGGAAGTACTGCATCCACATGGTTTTAGACATTTGAGGTCTACTAGGTATAATTGAGGGGTCAGACATAGACCCAGGGGACTTAAAACCAGTAGAACAAGCTGAATGGAATTAGCAAAATAAGGAAACAAAGGCACAAATAACACTCACCTTCAAAGATGAACCTTTAAATGGAGTGCTCTATCTGTCCAATGCTAAGGAAGTTTGGACTCAACCCAGAAACTGCTATGAAGGGAAAGGCAAACAGATTATTACCTACCTAATAGGTGAACTGTTCCAAGGAAACCTGACCAAGGATACAGCCTTAGAACCCCAACTGAATAGTATGTGTCAGAAAGCACATGTATTAGCTTCCCTAGGCAAGCCCCTGGACGACTCAGTAGTAGCCGTAGCCATGGTCATCTTGCTACCACCCTCATACTCCACACTTTGCACTATTCTAATGTCCACTGAAGACAAATTATCCATAAACGCCGTCATAAGACAGGCACTTGCTATTCACCTCAGTCTGAGTTTTTGGAACTGAGGTGGCAGTGTGCAATGTGGCTGGATATAAGTACTCTATTATATAAGAATCCTTTCCCACTATCCTGCAGTTTCCTCTATGAAAATATCCAAGAAACAACACACCCACTCAACAAAAAAACAGTAAAAACAAGCCCATACAAGAAATAAACATATTGTGCTTAAGCTGTTGTAGTCCTTTAGTCAGAACGTCTGCAACTTGTTCTCCAGTGGGCACATATCTGAGCTGGATATCTCCACTTTCTAACTTCTCTCAAATGAAATGGTGTCAAATGTTGATGTGCTTTGTCCGCTGATGGAAGGTTGCATTTTTTGCCAATGCAATGGCAGACTGATTATCTACCATAACACTGTGGGCTTTGGCTTATTTAAGCCCAGCTTATATTCTGAAAACATTCTATTTTAGCCCATTCTAGCTACAGAGTCCAAAACTCCCATATCTATCAGGATATAAGCTAGGCTTAAATAAGCCAATGCCTGCAGTGTAAGGTTAGTTGCACCGCAAGGGCCAAAGCCTAGTTCTGTGAATAAAGTGCAAAGCCAAATGGCCTCTTTAGTAGCAGCAGCAGAAGCCACATATTCAGCTTCAATGCTCAACAGAGCTACTGAAGCCTGTTTCTTTGATGACCAAACAATTGTAGCATCAGATAGTATGTATACGTATCCTGAGACCGAGCACCTGTCATTTATGTCCAAACCCCAATTGGAATCAATGTATCCAATGATATCCTTGTCGGATTTGCTTGGCATAAGTACCAGATCAGTTGTTCCCTTCAAATACCTGTAAATGTGTTCCATTGTGTTCCAATGTTGAACCCCTGGAGTAGCAGTGTGCTTGCTTAAGACATCCACTTAAAATGCCAGATCAGGTCTCATGCCTAACATGGCATATATTAACAAACCTAGGGCTTTCTGATATTATTTTTTGTCAATTTCAGGTTCAAGCAGCTCGACCCATTTCACATTTGATTCCATTGGTGTTGCTACAGGTTTGCAGTTGGACATCCTAAACTAAGACAGTATAGAGCTGATATATCAATGTTGTGATAAATCAATGGTACATTTTATGCAGTCTTGAATAATCTCCATATTGAGTATCCACTTTGTGTTGCCTAGGTCAGTCATTTTGTAGGTGTGGTTTAGCTTGACTTTGAGTAATTCAATAGCCTTTAAGTTGTTCGAAAAAAGGAGCTTGTCATCAATGTATATGGCTACTATAATTTTTACCTTGTCATCCTTTTTGTGAAAGACTGCGTGATCTGATTCACAGCAAGTAAATCCTAAGTGTTCGAATTCTGACCGGAGTTTTGCATACCAGGCTAGACCGGCCTCTTTTAACCCATAGATAATATGCTTCAATTTCCATACTTTGTGTTTTGACGGATTAAAACCGTGTAAATACTCCATATAGATTTCTTCATCAAGATTCCCATTCGGGTAGGCTGCCTTAACATCCATTTGATGGATTTTGAAGTTTTCCCCACTGGCCAGAGCAAGTAGGGCCCGGATTGGGGCAAATTTTGTGACTGGGGCAAATGTTTCATTGTAATCAATTTTTTCAACTTGCGTAAAGCCCTTTGCTACAACTCTAGCCTTGTACTTTAGTATTTTGTCATTAGGTCCTCTTTTTATGCAGTATACCCATTTTGAACCAACAATTTTTGACCTTTCAGTTGGTCTACTTTGTTGTATAAGTCCATTTTGTCAAAGATTTTTATCTCTTTGAGCATGGTGGTATGCCAGTGAGGTGTGTCTGGTCCATTTGCTGCCCCATTGTACGTGGTAGGCTCAATGTTCATGTTTGATGCCTTGTACACATATTTGTTGCGATGTAAGTCCATTTTTTCACGGTTATTTGCGTCCTTGCTGACTCCATGTAGCATCTCTGCACCTTCCTTGTTTTTGTCATCCTCCCCCTCCTTTCTCTCCTCCCCTCTTTTTTCTAGTGTTCACAGTTCATATGTGTTCATGAAGAAATGGGGGTTGTCATCACAAATTGGGGCCTTACGAATACGCAACAATCGTTGAATAGCTGGAGGTGGGATAGGGTGGGTATATGGGGTAGGAGTAGGTGGACCTGATGACTCTGATAGGAGTTGTTTAGAGTGTTGTTTGGACTTTAATGGAGGTCCTTTGTCTGTAATAGGTTTGTGGTCTGCCCCAGTGGTCTTGAGCTGATTGTTTTGCTCCTCCATTTCACATCTAAGCCTCCATATAATATTCACTGTTTTTCCAAGTCAACTTGTTTGAGCTCTTCTGGCCTCTGACTCTCCTGTTCCCTCTGAAGCTCCAGCTCCTGTTTAATCTGGACATTCCTTTCTTCAAGCCTTCTTGCACAGCAGCTGCCAAAGACTCTTTCATCACTTCCACATTGTTGAACCTAGACTGCTTAACTTCCATATTTTCCCATCTTGGAGTTCAAGCTTTACTCAAGGATTTCCTATGCTTGTAAGCTTCTCGAGATAACTTCCCTAGTATGTTGCTAGGTGAGAGATTGCACACCTGTTTGTGACTGCAAGGGGTAAATGTGCTCTTTAATTTCCTTTCATCACTGATGTTGTCATCAAATTTACCCTTAATGTCTGATGCTACAGAGCGACTGATTAATTACACAATTAGAATAGAAGCATCACTTACTTTTCCACTTGGGTGCATACAAAGCTTGCAATATTTTGCTTGTACCACTGTTAGGTCCATTTGGCATATATTTGTCAATGGACATTGTACTCCCCATTGTTGGTTGTGTAATGGGTTTCTGGAAGGAATATATCGAAAGGATTACAGAAAGGTGAGGAGCCTGGTAAATGTAGCACTCGTAAGCTGGATCCAATTTATAATTCTCTCATTGTTTGATTGAACAGCGGAAAAATTTACTGGATGCAAGTCAGAGGCAATAGGAAATAGTTAATGGGAAAGGTATTATTATCATAAAGCATCTGAATGCAACATTATGCAAAATCCAATTGCAGGGTAACTTTTGTAGCATTTACACCATAGATTCAAGGGAAATAGCTAGTGACAATTACAATCACATTAAGTTGAAACACTTAAAGATGGTTGTGAATTTTGATAAACCAACATAAAGATTTATCCTAGCAGCCAAAAAAAAGGTTAAGCACAGATTAGGGGAAAAAAAGTACACTATGACAATGCAGCATAATGAGTATGAAGAATACTAGCTCTCAACAAATTAAATATTACAAGGTCTGAAACCATTTTTCAATCAAATTCACTTATGAGGTGTATTATATCCCAACCCAGAACTCCTTAACAAGATATCACCTTCTATGCAGTCTTGGACCCACATTTTGTCTTTTGTCTTTGATTTGAGTCATTTTATTGATTTATTATAACAGTTTGTTTCCTTATTCCAATGTTTGCTTGGCCTATTTGCTTGTTTTTGACCCATAATGATCACATCTCGAACACTGTGATTAATCTTATCTTCATTGATAAGTCTCTACTGGCCTTCTCTTACTCAGTGATCTTATAATAATAGCAAGATTACAAAACACCTTACATAAAGTAGTATTATTAGTAATCTACCTTGATTAGTGTGAATTTATTATGAATATTAGTGCTTTACAATAATTTATACTCTGCCATGGGAGTTGCCAAAAGGACCCCTGACACCATGTGACGTGTGACATTCTTGGGATTTCCCAGGTTTTTGCTGTGTTCTGGGACTTCCCAAATAACCTGCTTGGGAATTCCCCAGGGTCCTGTCAGAACTGTGACCTTACGGAGTGTTGGAGTTACGGAGTATGGAGATGGGGTAGGGGGTAACAGAGTACAAGTGAGGAATTGGCTTAGCTCGTGCACTAGGCCCTTCCATGGACCTTGGTCCCTAACTCAACGGGATGGACAGAGGAGAATAGAGGATGAAAAGGGAGCAGAGTAAAGATCCTTTGGAGAAGGATTAGAAAGACTTAAAAAGGGACTTATAAAAAGGAAAGGGAATCTAGATGATATTTGAACTGCAGAAACAGAGTACAGGAGCTACAACTTATATACTGTCAGAGGAGTAGGAGCTTGTAAGGAGTAACTTGTAATGTAGGTACAGAGTTCCATGCAGACAATTATCTAGCGAGAGAGAAATATATGTGCAAAGAGTGTATCATAAGGTCTAAACTACAGAGTCCATGAGGAGTACAAGAATGTGCATGGGAAAGCATATGACGGACTAGAACTTCAGTGCAGGAGTATTGGAACGGGAATCCGGAGTACCATGTGGGGGTGGGGCATGGGGCTATGCCAACTGGCAAGTCATGAGGAGCGTAATCCCGAGAATACCAAAGATTTGGGAGGTTCAGACTTGAGGAAATATCTCCTTTGGAGATGCTAGAGTCCTGTTCTCTGGTACGGATGTGACAGGTCCATCCATGGGATTTCTCAAGATATATGGGAAGTCCCAGGGGTATTTTGGGATTTCCCATAACATACCATGAAAGACCATGGTAGACCATGTCCTAGAGGGCTGTTAGCCCCAACTGTGATACAAATGTGATCAAACTAAGAGCCCTAGTTTTGGGGTAGCCTGAAGTGGCAGATTGGAAAGGTGATATTAGTAAATCACTAGTACACGGCACAAATGAGCGCTAGAAATAAAGTTAATAAGAGAGTGGAAGGGAAGCAGATCCTAGTGCGCTGCACAGAAAATGCTAGGCAGGAGAGTGAGTAAATATGGGGGAGGAAAACCAATTGATGTTTATACGACTGGAGACAAAAGACACTCAATTATGGCATCAGGGCATTACAAATGATTAGCGCTCTACATCTATCTAAACCCAAGAGAAAGGTTAGGAAATCAATTGTAAGCCTAAACAAATGGAGGTTAATGCCAATGAGAGCTTAATCCTGATATGAACAATCAGTACAATAGTACTATAGAATATGCAAAAGTATGCACACAAGAGAGAGAGAGAACAATCATGAGATCAGAGTTCATCTCCCACTGAGCATAATAACAAAAAACCCAGGTTGGGTCAACAGGTACAGGCGCTTGTCGCCTATCGCCTCCGGGGTAAAACAATACTTGGCTATTACCCAGATGAGTCAATGACCTAGCAAACATCACTCAACCTTGGGCAAAGCGGGCACGCAACAGAACATAATATCCTCACAGTAGATGTCTCAGGTCAAGGGGCATGGGCATGCCGGCGGTCTTGTGGTTTTCAAGGCCTAGTTCACTACCCAAAGTCTGAAATTCCTGCCCATTGACCCTCGTACCGGGTGATCTATACCATTTATCCAGTAATCTCTTTGCTTCTTTGATTGCTGGAGGGCAGTTGGTCTGTACAACCCATAGCTTGAGTTTACTAGCTCTGTTGAATGTGTGTAATAGGGTGGACTCGAGGACACCAAACTTGTGATTGGTGGGGAATTGCTGAAGTATACCTATAAGGTGTTCAAAGGGTAAACACCACCAGGAATGAACAGGACCAAAAAGTAATAAAAAGTCTAATATATGAAACACCATGTGCCCATTTGTATGTTCATTGACATGTGGATATAAGCTAGTCAATTGTGACACACACAATGCCATATGTCTGTGATATGCTTCCACCCGGGAACATGTTGTTGTCTGCATACAAGCCAACAATATAGCGCAAACAAGATCCATTATATGGTCCAAGACACAACAAAACTGCAGGGCAGCAGTATGTAATAGATGAGAAGTGTTATCTCCCCACAGACTAACTAGTAACCAGGGCAATCAGGAGGTAAATTGTGATTATAGTATGCCATTTATCTGCCTTCAAAGATCCAGCAGCAGCCTTGCCAAAATTACGAGGTACTGAGTTAACCCAAGCTGGGACTAATATATTTTTAATTACATCCCAAATATGTTGCATGACTTGGGTGTACATGTTTGTGGAGGCTGTGGTTCATTCAACTTTAGTGGCATTTTTTTACACTTGAGATACGAGTTAGTCGCCAATATGCAATTTATGTAAAAGGCTTACCCATGCTACAAGGCTCTGTGCCCAGTCAATCTTTCTTGGATTAATCCTCTCTGTGCATGGTACTTGATGGAGATCCTTCCCTACAAGAACTAAGGCATTCAGATTTTTGTCATTAGACAACTCTGCAAACCAAACTCCACTTCCAATTCAGTGGGTGTCTGTCTAATTATGGGCCTTGTGAGAAGGTTGTTTATGTTTTTCACTTGCTTGACATATTTGACACTCAGGGATCCAGGAGAGTTGACGCTGGGCTGTGCAAAATTGTGCTTGAATGCTGTGATAACTTTCGGCGTGGACTTTGCAGAGGCACTGGTGAGACAATGTGCATCTTGAACATGGAGCTGGGCTGAGCCTTCAAAGAAACAATGCATTGGATTGGCAACAAGTTGACAGGCAGGGTTCCAATATGGTAGTTTCTAAAACTCGGACCACCGTATCCCATATTGCTTTACTAGTTTTTTGCACCCCACTGCACTTGAGGAATCTCTCCATGCCTTCACAAAACTCTGTATCATGCTTTTGTCTCATGGACACTAACCAGAGTGGTCAAAATTGGTCCTCCCAAGTGTCAACTTGTGGAAATTGTGGCAAACTGTGCAGTAATGATGACTGGTAGGTCCTCCAAGCTGGGACACCTTTTGAGCAGCAGGAAGGTCATAAATAGCATTTGCAATAGCACTACAAGTTGTTTTACCATTTTGTTGCATCACTGTATGGGAGAAGTAAACTCCTCTACCCCAGCAGGTAATCATATTGTCTATCACAGCAAGCATGACCAACTTTTGTCACACCCAAAATCAATTAAAAAGTCTGAAAGTAGTTAAAATGTTTGATTGCATTTTGGACCTACAAGACTTTATCAGAGTAATGTATTTTAGTTAACATATCCACACAAAAACATAGTATTAATGGAAATATGTCACCAAAAAGACATTATTTTGTAGGTCCAAAATGCAATTAAATATTTTAACTACTTTCAGACTTTTCCATCAATTATGAGCGTGACAAAAGATGGTTATATTTGCTGTGTATGAGGGAGCGGATGAAGTGATTGAGCTGGTCCAGCGAGGGTTTGTTGGGTCCCAGAATGATTCCAGTGAGATACATATACTCAGGCTTGTAGCAGATGTTGGCCGGAAGATTGAGACATGCACAGGATATTATTCCTCACAATGTAGAAGCACCACAAATATTCAGCCCTTCATTGTTAAATAAGTCATTGTTGATTGAAAACAAGTACCTCCCCTCTTTTCCTCTATTGATGAAGAGTGTCCCAGGATTAAGGACATTGAAAGTTCTAATAAACTTGGCATTAAAGACATTGGTGATGTATTCTGGAGTGTCAGCAGTCAGAGATGCCTTAAGATTGTTGCAGGCTTTATCCATCTGCATTTCCAGATCCTTACAAAATAATAAGCAACTTAAGTAGTCAAAGGATTGATAATATACAAAGGGTTTCATAGGCTTGTTGCCTTTGAGAAGTGTTTCATTACAAATGTCAGACTCGGGCTGCAGTTTGTTTGTGCATATTGCAGGATATTGCTTTGTCATTGATCCCAAGCAAATAAAAGGCTCATAGGTAAAATTACATTGAGGACATACTGCAATACGTGGTGGTCCAACCATCTAGATTAAATTGCAACAATGTGATGTCAATGCTTGATAGAATTTGATATAGGATTTGGGTCTGCGCTGTATCCAGATAACTGTCTGCATTCTTCTAAGCTGTTTACAAAACAAGGTGTACTATAGCATGCCCAGAAGTAGGTTTCCAGCCCACTGAGTAGTACCCATAAAAATGCTGCATACCACAGCCAAGAGAATTGTTACTTGAATTAGTTCAGAGCAACAATCAATGGCATGCTGGTAGTGATGCCCTGAAGTTTGAGTCATGTCAAATAAGAGGATACTGACTATTTATCTCACTGCAGTCATAAAGAAGAGGACTCTTGTCAGTGGGCCTATTAATTATTCGCACTTCAGATAATTGACCTTCTAATGAAACCAATTCTCTGTTGATCTCCTGCTTTAACAGCTTAATTGAGTCCACATTACACTTTACTTTTTTGAAGCATTTATAAAGGCCACTCAGCTGAACTTTGACATCAGAGACGACTTCATACAAAGGATGGTTCACAAGCATCCGAGTCAGATCTAGCGCATGAGACCAAACAGTGTGTAAAGCTTTTTGGGCCAACTGCATCGATTTGTTCCTTTCTCTCTTCGTATTTTTCTTATACAATATGACTGACAACAGTGTCTGGACTTGATCGTTGAGCTTAGAAAGTGTGTTGGGTATAGGCTGTGGTTTATTTGGCAGGATCTGATTCCCAGAACCAAAAAAACTTCTTAAACTACCCATGATGTCACCAATGGCTTCAGGGTGGTGAGGAGAGCCCAAGAACAAGTCAGTATCAAGACTGTTCCATAGTCGTGTTTCCTAGCAGTTAAATTTGGGACCCTTGTTGGTGATAGTTAACACAAACAGATGTGCATGGAAATTGGTCTTGTGTGTGCTGCGAATAGAATAGAGCAGAGATGGTGGCATAGGCCCAGTATCTTTACTCTGATTGTTGACTCTAGCTAGGTGGGTAATCCTGTAAGAAGCGGGAAAAAGTCTCCCTATGGCCACACCGGATGAATTATGATTGCCATTTTTCAGACACTTTGCACACTTGCAGTAAAACTGTGATCCGAGACGCCTTGGCATAGTTTATAAGTCTATATCATCAGGAAGAGAGTTGGTCAAAGCAGGCTCGTAAAAGCATGGGGCAGCCAACAAACCGTTTTCTGTAAGTCTCAGCGCTGTGTACTATAGCTCTAGCTCCACAACAGCAGTGATGGGGACAATGGATTTGCAATGTAGAAACACTGCAAATCTTGCTGTTTTATATTGGAGATAAGGAAATTAATCTAAAACTATCTACCCCTCCCAAGAAGAAGGTATTAGCACTGTTGCAAAAGTACAAGGTTGCCATTGTCCTGCCATTGATCCACCATTGATTGTCCGGTGGGGTTATTGCTATGCACTGTCCTGTCCTTGGAGTATGCTGAGAATTCATTTGAGCACATATACAATGTATAAACACTGTACACATTGAGCAAGGTGATAATGGTGAATCAAGATGTGTAAAGTGACTTGATTAATTGACATACATGTGGCATTACACTGTCACATGCCACCTGCAAGGCAATTCTCCAAGTCTGATCTGTCATGACCCTCATTCATGTTCACCACAAACATCTGCCTGTGATTGGGAGGTTTTTACAACCTAATTGTACTTCCTCAACCCTCCGCATTCACGTTCACCACCACCAACATCTGCCTGCAATTGGGAGGTTTTTACAACCCAATTGTACTTCCTATGGCAGCAAAATGTCAGTAAACTTGCACTGGATGGATTTAAGGGCAGCACCTTTTGGGTTTGCAGCCGGCAAACACTAATATAATTATTGTATCAATGGATTTACAGAGATCTATTCCTCACTGGCACAGTAGCAGTGGGAAATACTGCAGGGTACCATTCTTGTTATCATAATCATCTGTTTTAGTTTCCTAGGTACATAGATAAATCTATTTGTAGCATCTACTCACAATCTGTTATCCATTCTATCTTTCAGCTCCATGAAATAGTTATTGTCCATATTGATATTGATTTTGATTTCACAATACCTACTGTATCCATTCCTCCTATCCTATTACTAAAATTGGGCTACTTTATTTGCTGGGATGTGGCTTTGAATCTGTTCCCCTGATCAATTCACTCCTTTTGCAAACCTGGACTTCTTTCATTTCTCCCTCTGTCTGTTTGTTCCCATTCCTTGCCCTCTTCACATCATACACAATATGATTCTGCATATCACTAATTAAACTCTCTATCATCTTCCTGATCAAGTGTTGCCTACAGAATGGTCCCAATTTTTTGACATCCTCACTGCATTCAATTCTTTCTCCACGGCCTTTATTTGGCTGTCTTTTATCTGCAATTTGCTCCAGTGTCTGATTTTCTCGTATAATTGAGTCAACCACAAGAATGAGCTCCGAATCCCTCCTGTAGCCTACCAATCAAGCTGCTTAAACTTTGGTATCCAATATGTGGTGTCAGGCTGTTGTAATTGTATGAATGGATCTGTTTGTAGTCAGTTCTAGATTTTTGTTTTTACAAAGGTTACTTACTATTTGTTGTAAGAACTGGTACAATTCCATAGTTAAAAGTATCACCATGACCATCTGGAATATTTTGAGTCATTGAGATGAGCCCATCTGTTGCCCATCTGTTATACCCCAGTGTTTGGACTTCTCCCATATGCACATGGTAGCTTCATTGCTTTTACTGGATGATACAGTTACTATTAGTGTCTTGCTGCCTAGGTCTCGTGTCTATTGATAAGGTCAGTCACCTTCCCAATAAAATTTATTTTGGCTCACATTAATTGTTTGTACCATCTCTCCTTTTTTGTGATTTGGTAAACCAATAATGGCCTGTCATATCTGTACTGGAAGACAAAACTCTGGCATCTCCGAGCCCAAAACCCCTGAACCATTGATATACTTGGGATTATGTTCCTTGTGGTCTGCCGGTTGGCATAACTCTATGCTCTATTCCCACATGGTACTCCGGTTGTCCGCTCCAATACTTCTGCACTGGACTTCTAGTCCGCCACGCCACCATCAAACAAAGAGGGTGAGTGCTCATTGTCAGAGTTGCTTTTGGATCTAACTCCATGATGGAATGTGACTCTTTTAGGCTTGGTCTTGGTATATGGCTGCCATACATAATTGCAGCAGCTGAAGCAAGATATAGGGATTTTCTCCTGGGAAATGAATTTACATGGTGCACTGGTACGCAAAATCACTAGTGTTTGGCTGATAGGAAGGAGGAATGGTGGGGGAGAGGCACCAG